CGCCAAATTAGTTGAATAACCGAGAAAGCTACCTCTCATTTTCTACATACACACGTATACTCATTACTCGGTGAAGCTACCGTAACAAGTCGCATATAACCAACCAACCAACCATTAACAAGCAGTCGGATGATGAAGAAATTGGAGATTGGAAAGCACCACCACCATCAAAACCATACATACACATACCCATCCACCATGAGAGATAGATAGGTGGCTGGTACCCCTGCACCGTGTATGCTACGGCTTCTTTGAATGACTGATGTAATCTAACGCAGACGGTTCTTCCACACGGATGAGACGATAAGAGGACAGCAGCAGCAGTAGCATTTTGGAATCTGGATGATGGCATATGGCAGTCCTACCGATGAAGAACGACCACCAACTTTCACGCCTGGCTTAGTCGTGGGATCAGAATTTGAGAAGGTATTCAACTATACAGCATGTAGTAACCCAAGAAAGATGAAGTTTGTTTGTTGGTTGGTGGGCGAGAGAGAGAGATAGATTGGATTTCTCAATCCTCCCTCTCCAGATCCCACTCACCCTTCAAACTCGTACTTGTAGTTGTCACAAGGATATTGGAGATCATGGAAGTGGATGTAATTACTTACTGATTAGGTTCTTCAGTCCAATTAATGGATCCTGAGCTCATACATACCATACTTGACTCACTTTCTCCCCAACTCCAGTCCACCACCACCACCACCACCGCTCAAGTAAACTCTTGAACCCGAGGTGATTCTTCCTCCCTAATAATGCACCTACTTACCTGGCCAAAGAAACTTAATCAATTCTTCTCAATCCTCTTGTTAAGTGTGGATCGTAAGAACATGAGAGGAACATTTGTAGAGAAGAGAACTAGTCTTGGAGAAAGCACATATTAGGAACAAGTCCGTAGTAGCAGGCCATGTTATACGCATTAGTTACCTGTGTTACATCACCTGCTTGATTTCACTGCACGGTCCAACTCCTTTATTCACTCTCAAAGTCCAAGTTGCCAGGTTGGTTGTGAAGAGAGATGAATCCTCACGTTGGGGATGATGATGGATCTGTGAGAATTTTCTCCCTTTGTTCGGGTCATACTCATCTTTGGCCTGGTAGAGAAGAAGTAGATATCGGAATTGAAAACTGCTGCCACATGTAATTAATATTGTGGGCTCTTATATAACTGCTGCCCGGGATGAAAGGGAAAGTTGTTGATGCGGAGGAAATACATAAGGACAAAGTCTGAAATTCTGTGATACGTCTGTGTCGCCGTGATTGTGTCTGGAATTGACAGCATCTCGACAAGTGAAGCATTTAGAAGTCATAGTTTCGAAAATTAGCACAGGAGAGCGCATATTATTACGTAGCACACTTATCACGTTCCCAGAATCATGTAAAGTGGAACAGTTGCATATGTATTCTTCTTGGAAGAGGCACAGATTGAGTTCTATTCTGTAACTGAAGCAGCGATTTTTGTCTGCAACCTACCTGGAAACCTTTGGTTGCCGGCCTACTTCCACAGCAGGAAACATTGGCTTCACCCCGTGAAATATTATTACTAGAAATTGGAAGAATTTAGTCCGCAGTAGCATATCGAGTCTGAAATAATAGTGGCAGTTGGCTCCATGCAGCTTGCCAAGCGAATCCAATCGAACCAGAGTCTCCAGGATCTCTGGAGATTTAACCCTTTCATTCAATTTAACATCTCCCACCACCACCTTTGCAGCCCAGGCCCAGCGACATGGCCAGAAGCAGATCAATTTTTCATTCTCTTTCACCTGCACTGCATTTGTAGCTATCTCCACATAAACGTATACGTAGAGATGGATAGATAGGCCGTGGAAAAGTAGATAGTGAGCAAAGGAGTGAACTGGAAGGGAAGACTTTGTGGAATAATCATCAAAGCAACACCTTTTTACATTTAACACTCCCCATGTCACGGATTTTCCTTGTTCGAAAGCAATCTAAACAATGAAACAAACCTTCCAACGAGGAGGATTTGCTTATACTTATGCATGTAGCGTGTAACCTTGTGTGTGTCTAGTTGGAAACTGCTATGCAGTCTTACTTAGGAGGGGAGCTTGCGAGGTTGATAATAACAGATCCTGATGCCCTTTGGATATGTGGTAGGGACCCATGAGTGTACTAAAACCCTGAAGTGGTTTGACTCCATGGCCACATTTGCGCCCGCCACACCCACTCAAAAATGCCCAAAAAACGCTTTCACACCAGTTTTCACTCACTCAAATCCACGCCAAAAATCCAATTTTACTCAGATTTTGCAATTTCTTTCACCATTACACTCCCAGATAGTTGCTTTCTTCAATCCAATATCAAACTCAATATTTTCGAAATTTTTAGTACTTTTAAAATTTAAAATTCTGAATGAGCATTGTTGTAGTAATCAACAACGCAAATTATCCCTGCGAAATAATCATCAGCAAAATTGAGTTTGATATTGGATTGAAGAAAGCAACTATCTGGGAGTGTAATGGTGAAAGAAATTTCAAAATCCGAGTAAAATTGGATTTTTGGCTAGGTTTTGAGTGAGTGAAAACTGGAGTGAAAGCGTTTTTTGGGTATTTTTGAGTGGGTGTGGCGGGCGCAAATGTGGCCATGGAGTTAAACCACTTCAGGGTTTTAGTACACTCATAGGACCCTACCACATATCCAAAGGGCATCAGGATCTGTTATTATCAACCTCGCAAGCTCCCCTCCTTAGCCGACAAGTAACTAATTCTAAGCCGACTTTAACAACGAGCTAGGTCAAAAATTTAGTATTGTGAAAAGAGAAAGTAGAAAGAATTAAAAAGATGGTCTACAAAATAAGTAGATAAAAATTATTATTTCCTAAACACTTTTTTCATAGAGTTGGAAATTTTTAAATTACTTGAAGTGCTACCGGATACTGAAAAACTGTACATTTTTTCCTATATTTCGCATTTCACGGACCGACCAAGAGATAAACGCACGCTCTTCGTGATGTGTCGTTGAACACCATTTGATACACATTCTTTATTTCCTATTCCTTATATTCCCCCACGCTTTCCATTTTAATTTCCGGAGAGAATTTAAATTATGGAGGAACCCGAATAAGTACATACGTAAAAGCAAGCATATTGCGGAATTACAACATTGCAAATAAAAGAACGAGTGTCATACATACGACCAGAATTCATGCCATTCTCACCAGTGCATCACTCCCATCCTGCACGCTTTCTCTACAAAATATCACCCTCTGGAGTAGTATCTTGATGACTATTATGATGTTGTAATGCAGTTAATGTTGTTGAAAGAAGTGTACATTGGATTACAAAGTATAATTCCAAGGATGAATGTGGATAGAACTTTGTGCGGTTCGCTTTCTCTTCACCATTGTCATTCTGTTTGTTGATAATGAAACCCAATAATACGCAGAGACCATTAGTCCAATTAAACCCAGAAGGAAATGATTAAATTGAGGCAAATCTGTGGTGGTTTGATTCTAGTCGGATCCATCCCTCTTCAGACACGGGAGCGGTCTAAAACATGAGTTTGAAACTCTCACTCATGCACCAACACACATTGATATTTGTGGTATGGTAAGTAAATAGGGACGATGGTGAAACAACAGTTTCATAATGAAAGGTTAATCCATACCTCGATTGTAAGGGGACAACATTGTGCTTCACTTTAAATCGGACAGAATTGTAGGAATTCTAGAAATGAAATGAGGCTATTTAACCACTCACTGGGTTTTGTTTCGCAGAAGAGTGAAAGTTATCAGGACAAGCATCACAACGATTTTCATTCATTATTACGCTTACACCAGCTAGCATTCAGGTTAATTGATGCTTAAATATTCAAATCCTTTAATAGTGTACCATTTTAGTTGGGTGAGCATGTTGATTTAAATTGTAAAGTGCAATTGTAGCAGAGAAATATGGGTCATTATTTCAAGAGTGAAAAGGAAATAATGTGGGAGTTTCTGTGTAATCCATTTAAACGTCGTAAAATTTTAAGTCTTAATTCATAAAATTACCCAACCAATTTTCAGTGGTGGCAGTGGCGAATTTTGCTAGAAAATATGAAGAGCGACAATTAAATAGGGAAGGATGTCAGGTGAACCCATACGCCTACTCGAACTTACATATTCACTTTCAACTTAATAGTTGTACAACTTGCAATCAAACTTGTCACCAGGTGGTTAAAATCCTTTCCGCTTATGATTGGTATGCAAATTGGTGTGCAAACTATCCGAATCATGATAAAATGAATAGATTCTGTTGCAGACCTCAAACACGTGTAAAAGAGACGAGAAAAGTTTTGCGAACTGAAACTGCTAGGTGCTGTGATTCAACCGCAGTTCATGTTCGGCTCAATGACAACTTTTTATGACAATTCTGGTGCATGAAGCTTTCTAAACAAGTCTAAAGTTAGTATGATTTCAATTACTTTTTGAAATCAAATAAATAATCAAATTCAATACGATGAAATTGGCAAAAAAAACATTACCGTAAGAATTTTAAGGCGTGTTTTTTCACAAAACTTTGCTAAAATTCCAATTTCCTCAACTTTAGACGGATGACAACGAATGTAGATGAATTAATCCGTTCGGTTCCTTCCTGTTCTTCTGCTCTTCCAGGAACACAGTGTTGCTGCTTGTTTACACAAGTTATCAAGCAATTAAGAAAAGTTTCGTCGCTTATAGTTCATCGCACACTGCATACAAGGTGAGCGTTATATGCACATACGTACATTTGCCATGCAGTCCTACACAAACAACCACCTTTTAGTATTCCCTTCCTTCACTATGGTAAGTCAGATAATCTGGCAAACTAAACTTTCACTAAACTTTTACACCATTCGCTATCCAACCAAACTCCTCCACATAAAAGCTTGTTTGTTTGTAGGAAGGATTTTAAAACTCGTCTGTCTCCTTGAATTTACAGACAGGAAACTTGTCACGACCAATTTTCTCGGCAGGATGGGCACCTTACTGCTTGCTTAATAAGGATTGGACACACAATTTCGCATTTTCTGATACAAATGCTGTCTGATGACTTTATTATTTGCCAAGTTAAAGCGTCGTTCATGGCACATATAATATTTGTAAGAGACATTCGATTCGATTTGGTTTCAATTTTGAATGGACAAGCATAAGATAATAGGATTTCTATATAATTGTTGTGTTTACTTACTTACTTATAGACACCGTGTTTCGATCAATGGAATAAGTAATTAAGGAATTACATAAACAAGTTCCAATCCATAAGTAGAGTTTCTTTAAATTTTAAATTCTAATACTGTCCGAGTATATAGGCAGAGGTTCACTCCTTTGTTGTATGTGTTTCATATTGGCATTATATAAATATTCTTTGTGAGATTCGTATATAACTCATTCGTCCAACGGAAAGAATATTTTACCAAGATGAATAAGTAAGTAAGTGGCTGATAAACAATGGCATTGAGACAATTTAACTTGTGCAGTGTTTCCCAAGCGTATAAATTAATCAGGTATATCGCAATTAAAATCTTGGTACAAAAACAGATCAATATTTATGTAGTTAGCTGTCAAGAATGTCTCAATTATTCAAAAGGAAGTTCCAAATTCGCAGTGAATTGCGTAGGGGTTGATTCCTTGTTTGATTTCCTTAATTAACTCGGTGCAGATCCACAATCCATACCTGGGTGAGAATCACATAGTTTTTTGTTAAATTATTAATTGTCTCTGAAATTATTTATGTGCTGAACACTAACCATTTGTAAAAATAGTAAATGAAGGCGCCTACTCCAATGTAAGTTTTTTCTTGCAGGGAATAAACTGCAAATCCGGAAATTGAGATGCCAATCAAACAAACGCAAATTGTCAGGTTGAACCATCTTCTCAACATGTGCTTATTCCTCTGTTTAAAATATAGCATTATTTTTTTAATGAATTGTTGAAATTGTAAAATAAATAGTGTTTGTGTACCAGAGAGGATCCTCGTAATAGCAAAATGGCGAGACCCAGCTCGAAAACCAGCCAAACTAAGGATGCTGACAGGAACGCAATTTGATAAAGTTCTGCAACGAAAACAATATAAAAATATATTAGTAAATAAATTCTTCGTTTTATGTAGATGACGTGATAATTAAATATTTGTATTAACGGTTAGTATTGATGAGTAAATTTAAGTCTCTCATTGCCGGATTGCCTGGAATATAAACAATTAAATTCCATGAAAATCAATAGTACCAAATTTATACGTAGAATTTTTATTTAAAAAATATTAATACAATTAAAGCGTACAAATCTTAAACCTTACCCTCGATATATCCCTGCAATATTTTGGGGTCCACAAACAGCAAAACTGTGACCAATGTGTAAGACACGAGACCATTGACGACGACGGCCTTGTAAAAAACACGAGATTCGTGATCAAATCAAGTTTCAAGTGCGAATTGTCACATCTTAATTTATAAACTTACAATATCACATTTGGACACGTAACCTGAAACCCAGAATTAAAATTTTAAACTTTGCACTTTTTCTAAAAACATCAGAAAAATATTCTATGAAGTGCAAAACACTATAATATCAAACCTGCTTCATTTTGGGCCGAATTTCCGCAACAGTATTTCTTCTCTGGGGGTTCTTCATCCTCCGTGGTGGACATTGTGTGAAGCCAATTAACTTGTTCCTGACTTTTGTGGGATTGTCGTCACACTTTTTTGGCAAGTATTTCGCGAGTAACGATAAAGGTCTGTGATTTTATAATTCCATATTATCCTCCTATTTCCGTACTAGTAATATTTAGCTATCAGACATGGCTATTGCCCGCCCAGAAAGGAAATTATAATCCCATTCTGCAGATTTATTTCACTAATGTGACCTTGCTTTTATAAATAAAAATCAATAGCGGCTTGCTTTAACCATAAACCAATTGATAAAAATCTCTCCCTTTTTCTACGTATATGTATGTATATAATAAGTAGCAGGCAATAATATGTGTCCACAAAATTTATATCCCATGCACTACATCTATCCACTCTATACTTTGGTATTTAGCAAAATGTGCAAATGTTACAGTTTAGTCCGGAACCAAGAGAAAGCAGGGAAAGGAGTACGGCAAGATAAGTCAGAGAACGGGTTGTCGGGTGACATCGGATCGGATCAATACTCTTCCGTGAACTTGATATGACTGAAATGAGGAACTTTCTCCATCTACTCAACTCTGGTGAAAGTCTGAACAGAGATTCGCCCTAGTTTACAACGATACAAAACATGAGCGTCTTCCTACATGGATTTACATATATTTATGTATAACGACAAAAAAAGTCTCGCTAAAATTCCCCTGTGGGGCCTGTCATCCAAATAAAGTGACATTTTAGTCATTCATACAGTCATCCTGGACAAGCCCATTGCTAAATTATGCTCATCTATTGCTGCTTATACACAAAATATATAAAGTCTTGGCACGATTTTGGGTACAAAATTCAAATAAATTGAGACCCTATCTATGACCTATGTATGTATGATATATACAAAATATTGTTCCACGACTCCAGCATTTATGTAAATATTTTATGTTACATGCAGTGAAATAACGCTAAAAAAATACTAAAATTTGTCTAACGGGATGGCCGAATCTATCATGTCAGAGTCGTCACCTACTTCAATTCCATCTCCGTAAACCTCCCCTCCAGACACGGAGGTAATCTCTCGCATTAAAATCTTAACTATCCATAAGCCATACCACTTGTAAAGTGCGATGGAAATTAGACCTATGCTAATGGCTACTTTATCGTAGAGGAAGAGGAAACACACTATTGTTAAAATTATTCCGGCAGAATAGCTCGCAATCGTGGTTGCGAACCAAATCAGGAGTAATTTGTGAATTCTCTGAAAAAAAACAATAAAGTTGATAAGCAAACTACGTACTTGAACTATTTTTAGAAACACATATTAACTTTTCAATACCTTTTTTGCACCAATTAGGAGCACGATAGAAAGTGCAATATAGCAAATGTGTAGCAAAACTGATATCGAAAGAACGCCAATTTGAGACACGCCTGTAAAAATGGGGAAACAATCAATCAATTAATCTAATTAAACGGCACGAGTGAAAGCCGAATTTCAAACTCACGAGGCCATTGCAAAAATTCTGAAAGATCAGTAGTAACGTTTCCTGGCGTGTTTTTCACAATATCCGGAAAGTATTCAGGATTGCTAGTGATGATGATTAGAATTGCTAACACGAGCGACAAGAACACCAGCGACAAGATCTGATAAGCCAAACAAAATGTTGTAACAATTACTCAAATTGAACCCTCCACCAAAACCCGTTGTCGGCCTTTGTTTGTATTTCTCTGGATTATTACCAAATCAAACTTTGCAATCAACGTGGCTTCCCTCTGAGTCGAATTCCCACAACAATACGCTTTCTCCGGTGGTGGTTCTACCGGATCTTGCGTTTCCGGCATTTTTTTGTAGACTTTGTACCATGCGCAACTACCAATTACGTCAAACTGGGAGACCACCGATTAAAATGAATGAATGAAAAAGGTCTAACATGATTTAACCATTTTACTTGAGAGAATAAATGCTTCAAAGTCGTCGATGAAAGCCAGAGGTCCACTCCACTCCATCACCACCTCGGTCACCTTTACTGCCCAACTACATAGCAGCACTACTCCTTTTTGTATCTATGTATGTATCGAACCTTTAGAAATTATAAGTTTTTGTGTAGATATTTGTCTGCTACTTTTTCCCTTGGTGGTGATGCTATGTGCGACAAATGGTTGGCGTTGTTCCGGCATACCACACATCACATTATACATATTCCACCGGGTTATACTCCTCCATGAATTCTTTCTTTGATAGTTCACATCACTCAGAAACTCTCACTCACACCAGCTATTATCTACCATTTCGTCTTCACGTATGGCCGTCCGTCCTGCTTATTTACTACTCCACTTAATAAGCTTGCATGACATGGAACACTTGTCTCAAGGCTCGACACACCGGAGAGTGATTGTCATGTCGCAAGCCAGCACATACACTTTCCGTATTGCAGCGAAATAATAAGTGTTTGCCATACATCAAGGAGAGAAAAAGAAGAAGAAGAAGCTGAAGTATGCCAACTTTTACAAGTACAAAATATTTGCTACATCAGTTAATGTTGCGAAGCATATTATGGATTTTCAATCGATAAGCTTTTTCTCTAACAAACATTGGTGAAAATTACTTTAGTCAATAGTCAATAATCGGATGGCTTAGTTGTTACCTTTTAGGTTACAATGCAGGTCTACATATGTACGTACGTACTTCTTTACTTCTTTATCCTTGGGTCGGTTGTCGCGTCGGCGTTCCATTTGTCGGAGCGATTGCATGCAAGCTAGTAGATAGTTTGGAAAAGAAGACGAAAAAGACTTTAGGTTCGTAGTGCCGAGGCATGTTCGTACTTATGTATTTGGACGATTGGAAGTTTGAATTTATAGGAATGCTTTAGGCATTATTGATGAAAGCATGATGATTGAGTGGCAGAACAGCACGAGCGTTAAAAGTTTACACCAACACAGGATAAGTGAGAGAAGGAACATGGAAGGAAGGAAGGACACTCTTGGAGGATAGGATTGTGCAAGGAAAAAATATAATTTTCTTCTGTATGTAGGTAGGTAGCCGTTCCGAACTAAATGCACCAATTCTGTCTATACTTACATAGCTTGAAGTACTAGAATTACAGGCGAAATGAGTAGAATGAGAATGGTATCGGAAAATGCTATGTTTTAATCATCATTTTTATCGTATGTACTACTTTTTCCTTCATTTCGATACTTAACTGTAGGTCTGCATTATAGGTAAATATGTCCCAAAAGCGTATAATAACCAAAGGTTGCATGCACATTATGTGTAATTTATTTCTGTAAAAATTGATTTACGCCAATATATTTCAACTACTGGAAGCAGTTACGATTTCGATAAGAAATCCTACCCATATGCTAAATGAATTTGTGATAAATAGTTGATAGAAATATTTTTGGAACGGTAGGCTTGATCCAGAAGTGTCATTTGTTGATCTACAATGCCGGCGTAGTCGTTGTAGGTGTCGTTGTTGTTGGACCTATTAAATAATAATTGTTCAGTTTAACTAATTATCGTCCTTTGTAGGGATCACATATTAAATTAAGTACGCAATTACGTGGAACAGTTGTACACTCCCATCTCCATACTGGAAAGAAAATTAATGGTGGTTGGCTTTTGCAGTTGCAAGTCGTGGTTCCAGTGCGATCAGTATATGAATACTGTGAAGGAAAGAAGAAGGAAGGAAAGCAAGGCGTTCCTGTTGAATTAAAACATTCAAAGATAATTACACAGCTTAATTATTTTTGAGATGATGTTAGTTTTACCATTTGTAAGGTTTGGAAATCCAGGAATCTGAGGCTTGCTGTTAACAAGAGTCAGAGACGATGCCAGCACAATAGCGAAAATAAGGATTCCTCGGTTCATGGTTAAAAAATTTGCTAGAGCTCAAAAAGAGATTTAATTGAGTGAGAAATCTCAAAATGTGAAATAATGTAGATGGACTGAAATATTGGTAGAGCAGTCATTTGTATTTATACTAAATTGATGTGGACGTAAATCGAAATTTGAAATGCGTGTTTGCTCAGAAGTTTGCAATAATCTACGTTTTTCAAATATCATTATTATGCATCCTCACGCGTTTGGTCAATCTTTCGTCTTTCTTTAATATGAAAAAATTCCAATCATTTGATCAGGAGAATAAATTAGGACAATTTCTCCTAATAAAAATAACTGGGAGGGCTTCGACTATTGACACATTAAGTAGAACATCTGCTGACGTAGTAAAATAAATACTTTTACATGTTACCACGTCATGACCTATACCAGGTAAATCTAGATCAATTTTTAAAATGGATCGCATTTTTTCTTGGAATTTTGTCGTTACACATACATACTAATCAAGTTTAATGCGTGACCTTAATTATTAAAGTCACGCACTAAAATTATGAAAACCTGCAATAATTAACTCAGCGTGAAAATTATTGTTTACAATGCAAAAAAGTTTCATAATGCAGTTTAATAATTTTGTTTAACCATTTATTTATTCAGTAGTTTACAGTTTAGTGTACATACAAAACACAATAGCGAGAACAATCGGAAGATCAAAATTTATCTAAGTCATCATCCCACATTTCAATAGGACGATGTAACCCTGTAGACTTCAACTCCTTCATAAAGCTATGCACGACCCAAACTGAATACAGCGTGAAGAGATAGCTGACAATGAAAATTGAGATAAAACTGAAATTCTCGTCAGTGAATATCACCCCAGGAATGAAGAAGTAAAAACCCGTCAAACAAATTGTGATCGTAATAATGTACCAGATTCTGCATCGTTTGTAATTTTTCTGCAAATAAAATTGGCATGCATCAATCAGAGAAAAGACAATTGCAATTCTGTGTCACTCTTTCTTTGCGTGCAATAATAATAAATACCTCTTCGATACATTTGAGCAGCCAAATTGCGAGACACAGCTCCCCAACGAAATAGAAGGTCGGGACTAGCACCATAGGTAATTTTTCCGTCACTAAAAAATAACATTAAAAGTGAACAATGAACTTTAAACGTGATATTGAATATTCATTAAGCTCAAATATCGAATAATTTCCTGCTGTAAATACGTATGTAGCATAGCAAATTGAAGCATAACAGAGAGAATTGGATGATGACTGCATACAGATGCTATTTCCGATATCTGACTCATATGCGAGTATTTACATACTTACATGGAAAATGGATGAGAATGTTGAAAATATTGTGAGGGTCTTGGTGATCAATGTTTTCTCTTATCGAAGGGCTTAGCGTCATGAGTAACGCTGTGACGGTTATCGTTAGCAGACTGATGATTGATGTGACCTGAAATTAATCAAGGTAATATTGATTACTAAAGTTGCACATATTTGCAGAAAAATAATATATACATGTAACTTACTATTTCAATCATGGCTATGATTTTAGCCTGTTTGGCGAATGAAGCCATGTCGCACGACATTATTGGCATCTTGTCGGTTTTACTGTAAAATTATCGCACTGTGGCAGATAATTTTCGCGAAAAACGTAACCAAATATCCCTAATTTGATGTTCTAAATTTCACTTCTGGAAATTCCAGTCCAAGAAACAACACCCTCCTTGCTTAAATTGGTACACGTTAATGACTCGCCTCGTGTGGAGGTGTTGGAGTTGTGACAAACAATATTTTATCGCATAGCTGAAACTGCTTTGATAATTATTATTTTGTGTTCGTCGATGAATCACTTTCAAAGTAACGTAATGACTACAATTTGTGAACCACGGCGTTGAAGAAGAATTAGTGCGCGATGAAAAGGCATGCTCTCGTGCCTGCGGAATAGATGAGTTTCCGTTTTATTATTTCTTGGCATGCATGAAAAGATCACATAGCCGGCTGGGTTTAACTTCTTAACCAACTTTAGGATTAGTAACTGACAGAGATAAACTTGGGGAAGGTAAAGTAACACTGAGACGATGAACAAATATTTTTTTTTGCATCCCACCCACCCACTCGAACCTAGATATATGAGCAGTACTACGTATTGTTTGCTGGGGGCTATTACCTTGCCGAAATTCTATGAAGTCACATACATATGGCGTTTATTATTCACATTTCTACACCATAGCATCTCTGACTCATAATGATAATGTCTAGAATAACCTCCATTCACTCTCGGCATCACTAATCAGCACGGTGGAGATGTGATAAATGATTATTCATCCTCATTAAGAGGGCTGACGAACGAACGAAACTAATGTCAAATGAATGTTATGTAGTAGTTTGCAGAGCTACTGAATTTTGCTATTCTAAATATGACGCTAAAGATGGTAGATGTTCGGTGTATTGCACTTACGAGACAGAGGTAAATGTTTACTTAATGACTCGCACAAACCACGAAAGAACACTATCGAGAATATATGTACGATTTTATTCATACACCATTTTCACATGTATGTTAATAATATTCTGATAAATTGTTTGTGTGGTAGACATTTAACTTGTAGAAATTGAAATATTTAGGTACGTGTATAAATAACTTTTTGACTTATACATAGTCAAAGTTTGTGCTAGCTAGTGCTGCAGTAACAACCGAGTCCTTTAGCCTGAGGCAAAACAAATAAGCGAATTTTGGCATTGCGAAGGTCACACTTTCGCATTATGCACTTGTGTGTATTCAAGTGGTGAAGCACATGAGGTTTGCATGAGAACAATGCAAACGGAAAGTGCATGCATCAGATTATGGGGCACGGGGTACAATCAATTTACTGGATTGCATTTTACAAAGTTCGTGTGTGTTGCTAAAATATAAATAAATATAAGACATGGTTCCTAATAAATTTGCGAATCGCACAGTGTTTAATTGACTCTAAGATTAAACTTGGTCTTAAAAAAATCTACGTAATGACATTCTGTATTTTTAGACCATCTCATAATACGAACTAACATACTCCCTCGACACTTCATCCTGACTTGCAATTATGTGCTTGAGAAAGCAACAAACTATGATTAACGAGTAGAGAGTAAAAGTCAAGTTTGCAGAGAAAGTGATGACGGTAATGAGAAAATAGTTTCCCCAGATGATTCCGCCGATAAAATAGCATCTGCTCGCTATTGAGAAGAGGATTGTAATTGTAAACCACATTATCAGTCCGTTTGGATTTTCCTGAGATAAAAATCATGGTATTTTATTTGTACCTTGGAATTTTAATTTCAAATTTACATACTTTATACACCCACACGTTGAGAAAAATAGCGAGTACAAATTCACCCAGAAGGTAAATCACCCGGATCAAGAAGAAGAGAATCAGTGCTGATACTGTTATAATTTGTTTTAATATAAATTTTTACCAAGTCACAGTTTTAACATTGAATCTAACCTGATAAGTTCTTGAACTCTCCGAGATCTTCTGGCTTGATCTCATCCTTCCGAATTATGAGCTCCACGAGAATTTTTATATTCAAAGTCAACAAACATACCGAGATCACCTTGAAACACCAATATTTGAACTATTAGAATCTTACATACGTTTGAACAATAAACTTACAAATTGTAATTACAACGTCTACTCACCAATTCAATCAACGCAATAGTTCTAACCTGGATTTTCAGGCATGACATTCTGAGTTCTGCCTGACCACTTAATTTCACCTCATACCACGCACACTTATTACATAATAGTTGTATGTTTGTAATGCCTTCTTTTTGCTTAATGGGAGAGAAATGAAGGTCTGACTACGAATACCATCAATCTCACACAAGATTCGATGTCCTCGAATGGACAACTTCTTTGTCAAAGTAAATCGACTTTCTCGACTTTCACTTCACCCGAGAAGCCCTCTCAGCCCAGCAATTTGCAACTCTTGCCACTTACTCGCAATATCTCACAATATATTCACGCGAAACCAAAATAGTATCTCAAATTAACTCCATCACTGAACCGACGGATTTGAGAAACCAAATAATTCCGGCTGGCAAACATATCTCGTCGTCGTCGTCGCTTCATTTCCTTTCATCATGTTTGCTTGCGATCGATCTTAAAATTGCTGACATTTACCAGATCACCTTTCAGAGTGACAGAAACTAGCACATTTTCTCTGTGTGTGTTTATACATTATCACACCATTTTTGGCGGATGCGATGCAGTATAAGTGCAGATGCAGGAAAGTCATTGCGTTTCGGCTAAAAAAATATTTGGTTCCGAGTGTCCTTGAATTTTTTTAGTATTTACTCCTACACATGAGTTATGAATCACTTTCCGGTGAGAGCTTTAATGGATAAGACTGGCTATAAATATTTATTTAGTTGGGTTCAAAGCTGGTATATAGTACTTAAAAAGTTAAGTAATGGTAAATGTGCGGTTATGTACATATCAAATTGAAAACTAATCCTCATCTGAATATTCTCCGGCTTCTTCCATTTCTTCGTATCCTTCTTCATTGTCAACGAATGGGGGTTCAATATCTCCAAGTTCGTCCATCTATAATGACAAAAAATGTCAAGTTGAGTGTCATAATATATTTCAAGTAGTAAAAGTATTATGTAATATTGTGTGTAAACACCTCGAGACGATTGAGCCATTTCTGCTCTTCCTCAACACTGGGATCTGGAAATTCTTCAATCTCCGGACCAATTCTGTATTCTCTCATAACATTTTCATGCATAAATGGTGCGTAACTACGATCCGCAAACTTTTGTCCGTCCCCCAAGTAAATGTTGTCTACTTTGCCTCTGACAAAATAAAATAAAAGCATTACTGAATGACTCCGATTGGTTTTTTTATAATGCAAATGTAATCTTACTTGATAGTACAAACCACAGTAGATCCTGGCCAAGTGTTGCTGCGAACGGAAACAACTTGAAACTCCTTAAAGACCGAGGATGAGGTTTGCAGAGTCCACGGAGCTTTGCCATCAGGGGCCACGTCGGTAGAAATCGGGGTGAATAATGGAGGTCCAACTTCACGAGTGGGTCCCATGTTCCCATCCTCACCTGAATCATGATCACAAATCCAGTTATTTATTTACATATAATTATGAAAATATAAATATTAAATTATATAGATTAAGCAAACCCTCATATTCCTCTCCTTCATCTTCTTCTTCTTCTTCCTCGTCTTCAGTCTCATCACCTCGCTTTTTTGCTCGCAACGGGTTCCACCAAACGTTTCGACCCTGTGGTAAGATCAGGCAGGCGTGGTGTACCCAAAAAGTCAACTTGGGATTTGTCAGCGAATCCATTGGTGGCCTGTACTTTTTGACGGCAGTAACTTTATCATCTCCTGGAGCTGTTTAAAAATTATAATATAATTCAACGATCGTAACACTTTCGCAATTTTCATGCTAATTGGAGTAAATTTTGTACGATTCATGGATTCCTCCTCCTCTTCAATGTCTTCATCGTCCTCTCCTTCGTACTCGGAAGGGTAGCTGTTGCCTCTGTAGAATCCCTTCGGTGAGACAAGTGACCCAGCAGAGGCTCGGGTCAACATTGCTTTGAGGAGGTGACCCTCTTTTCCTGGAAAGTTGGGGAAGGAACGAATGTTCCCGTCTAACTCTCCAGTTAGACCCCACCGAATTTGCCGAGCTCCATTAATTTGCTTCGGGGAGGCTGGTGGGAGGAGGACCCAGGGTTGTCCGAGGATGTTACAAACATAAAACGCCCTTCTATTCGCTCCAGTACCATCCGATTCTGGGGGGATTTCCACTTCAACTTCAACGTTAGGGGTGGGAAACTTTGTCATCAGCTCTTCCTGGTAACCTTGCCACTTGGCAAAGTCGGCAGCAGCTTCAGCGTCCTCGGGTGATTTTCCCGCATCCTCTCCGCCCCATTCTCCTTCCCCAAGAAGGCCACCGTCAGAGGGTGGCGTGGGGGCTTTAGTTTTCGGCAGGAGATTGGCTTGTTCTTCGGGTGGAAGTCCAGATCTACACATAGTTATTTATTTGTTATAACGTAAAGTTACGCCTAGTTTACAAAATCGTGAACTTGAATTTCCTACGTTTTTGAATATGCTGACAAAACGTCACTGTTCAGGACGACGTTGCCCGCTTTTTCAAATGTAGCTTGTGCTCCAGGGATGTTTTCTTGAGGACCAGCATCGCCAGCCCCACCGACGCTTTCGGGATTCTGCGATTCTTCTTGTGGTTGCCACAAATCTGCGTCACTGTTTCCTGGCGAGTTTATATCAGCTTCGACAACGTAATAGTTTTTACGGGAGCAGAAAATTTTTCCCCAAAATCTGGTAAATTTAGTTTCAGTTGGCGAATAATTAATTACAGATTCGAATTGAGTATGAAGTCAAACCTTGCTTTTGTGATGTAAGGTCTGTTAGCAGTCAAATCTTTAATGGACAACGCTAAACGAAACATTTCTTCACGAGGCAACCCAATATTAACTTGTTCCAAGTAATACTGAAGTCGCAAAAGATTTTGGAAACCTCCTGCTACAAAACCTTCTCCTGGAATTTCCTTGGCTTCATCAGACCATTGCGCATATTGCTAAATAATAATTTCTGTCACTTCAAACTTAGTCAAAAAATAATAAGCTTCAAGCTATACCTTCCAGTTATCATTGAGAAATCGTGCATCATTCAAGACGGGCTCACTGATGTAAAATACATCCTGAAGAACATCCTTGGGCTGTTGAAATCTATAGCGTTTCACATTCATACTGATTTCTTCAAGAAAGTCGACTGCATTTGTAGGGGCACGCTCGTCCAAAAGTTTTCGGATAACATCGCTCAAGTGATCATATCTTAATAGTAATCGTAAAATTTAGTAACAGTCCAAAGTTATGAAATCAATTACTAATATGTATGTCCAATTTAAATTCTTACAAGCTGATTCCCGACTTTGTACTAGTATTCATGAAAAAAGCTTTTGCTCTCGTGAACTCATCCAGCTGGTACGGATGAGAAACCTCGGTATCCACCATTTCGGACTCTTCAACAGCTTCGGTTAACATGGTCATCGTCTTCTCGCGAGATCCTGTCAACATTAATATACATTAACTTGCCGATATGCTGTAAAATGCAGTAATTTAATTGTCTCCCATCATACCAGGAGGTGTTTCGCATTCACACGGGTCGCAAGTGCATCCCAAATCCCCCTCCCCCTCCCCTTCGTACTCATCATCCATTAAGGGTTTGGACCCACGAATTGACTTCTTTTGCGCTCCAGGTGGATTACAGTCACAGTCGCATGGGTCGCAGGTACAAGCATCCGGATCTGCTTCTTCGGACTCCTCGACATAATTACTATCCTCCGGGAGGGGTTCATCGTAGTATGCGGGTTCGCCGTAGTCCTCGCCGTCTATAAATTGTAGGATACTAATTACTTGTTAAAGATTGCTCCTCTTTCGAGAGATGTGGTATGTACGTACACATGACTTGATTCGCGTCATATCCGGGATCCATTGTCCACTTGATGAGTTAAAGAAAAAGAAAATACACGAGATCAGAGTGGTTTCAGAAATCGAGAAAGTTTCGAAATTGCCAAAATTGTAAAAGAGGGCGAATAAAGTCAGACTTGTTGGACAACCTAAATGATAATTCGTGAAGTTATGACTTAATTCCTTAGATACGCTAAAAAAGCTCTATTTTGTAAATTGCGAACATGCATTACAAATGCAAGCCAAGCTATGATATGATCCAATCTACTGACACGATAACTCATCTTTGAGTTGTGAGTAGATGTTTTCATAGCAGATTCTACAGTATTCTGAAAAAACAACTAAATGTGCAAGAACCCAAAAATTCTAATGTTTATGCGATTCAAAGATTTATTAATAATTTTTTATTTTTTATTTTTATTATTAACCTTATAAAAATAAGTGTATTTTATTAACAAATTATAAATATTACCTTATAAAAACTAATTAATTTTGACCTGGATACCATTTAAAAACGGAATTAAAAATGGTTTCTATTGCATTTGGGGGCGGATTTACTGGGGGGCAGAATACCATTGAGACCGACTTGTGGGGCGGTGATAAAATCAGTTGGGGACTGAATTAATGCAAACCGACTTTTGAATATTCTACTGATGCAGTTATGATTTATTAGAGACCTGGAACTGATTCGACAACAAAAATTAGAACATAATACATTTTTAACATGAAATTGCAACTGAACCAAATGAACACACGATATTAATTTTGATAAAAAGATCGGATTTGATTTTGATAGTACTACAAAAATAAACTAAACGAATAAATCGTCATCATTCATGTCATCAATTTGATGACACTGATTTTGGGATGCATTTTATATTTTAAACAAGTTATTAGCTATAATTTTGTCCTTCAGTGTTCTGTGACTTGTTCCGATCGGTGGTGACACTATTGCGAATATATTAGCTAAAGAGAACGTTGTGATAATTTTAAAAAAATATGAACTGTATCATATTTACAACATGATACAGGTCAGAGGTCAACGCCGACCAATTTATTAGCGGCACCAATGTTGGATAATTTTTCGGGGGCGCGGCGTGACCTCTGATGCACTTCCTCCGAGTTCCTCCCCCCACTACAACTACAACTCTAAACTCTAAAAAAATTAGTTCAGGCTTGAAGAAAAACCAACGACAAATAAGGAGGAAAGAATGGAACTGAGAAAATTTTCTCGGTCATTTTATTTTTATTTTTTCCTACACCTTATTGATGTAGCCCGGTCTCAACGGAATTCTGTAACCATACACCTTATTGGTGGAATCCGTCGCCAACGAGAAAAAGTTGGCCTACACCTTATTGGTGTAGTCCGTCGCCAAGAGATCGAAATCGCCCTCCACCTTATTGGTGGAATCCGTTTTTAAAAGGTTAATAAATATTTGGTACCAAGGTTGCTTGACAATTTATCATAATACAAGGTTACGACAATTGCTTCGAGAGCCTCAAAAACCTTCATTTTTGAAGGGTTAATTATTTGGGCTGTCGCTAACGGTAATTAAAGCACAAAAATTTCTGCTACCACGCCGAAATAGCCGACACATTTACAAAATGATCCGTTATAAATGTTTTTTTATTTGATCGATTAACTGACAAATTTAATTTTGTATTGGATTTATCGGACGACATGATCAGTTTTAAACATATAAAAATACATAGAAATAAGCTGATAAGAACAGATACTACACTTTGATCTTAGCCAAAAGGCGTAGAAGGGATTATTTTTTTTGTATCCTAATCTTAAGTCGGTTCCACGGTCGTATTGGGCTCGTGGAGATCCGAGCTTTGATTGCAAGGAGACGTTTTCTGGGCAGCTTTTTACGGGCCAGTCGTCGTCGAATCGTTGGCCTATTCACCGCGATTGCAATCATTTTTTGTGGCGCAGTTGGTAAATTGGTCGCCACTAGTCTTTCCAATTTCACAAAGCAAGTCAGAGGACACATGAGGAAACTCTTATAGCCTACAATAATAAGATAAATTTTATTTAAATAAAAAAATAAGAAACAATCATTTTAAAATTTTAAATACGTATTTATTAACATAAACATTAACAATGATTCTGAATTACCACGGCAAGTCCTTTGATGCCGGTCCAGTGAATCAGGTCTTGCGAAGAGACACGAACAACCAGGACATTTCGGTTTCGGTAAATGCTTGAAACGGTGTTGCGACTTCAATGCTAAAAGTCAAGTGCGAAGATTTTGTAACGCTAACACAATGTTAAAAGTCAAGTGGGAAGATTTTGCAATGCTAACACAATGTTAAAAGTAAAGTTGAAAGATTTTGTAACGCTAACATAATGTTAAAAGTAAAGTTGAAAGATTTTGTAACGCTAACACAATGTTAAAAGTAAAGTGGGAAGATTTTGTAATGCTAACACAATGTTAAAAGTGAAGTGGGAAGATTTTGCAATGCTAACACAATGTTAAAAGTGAAGTGGGAAGATTTTGTAATGCTAACACAATGTTAAAAGTAAAATTGGAAGATTTTGTAATGCTAACACAACGTTAAAAGTCAAGTGGGAAGATTTTGTAACGCTAACACAATGTTAAAAGTAAAGTGGGAAGATTTTGCAATGCTAACACAATGTTAAAAGTAAAGTGGGAAGATTTTGCAATGCTAACACAATGTTAAAAGTGAAGTGGGAAGATTTTGTAATGCTAACACAATGTTAAAAGTAAAATTGGAAGATTTTGTAATGCTAACACAACGTTAAAAGTCAAGTGGGAAGATTTTGTAATGCTAACACAATGTTAAAAGTAAAATTGGAAGATTTTGTAACGCTAACACAAGAAGTGACGCTAATTATTATTATTTGTAATTATTATTACTAAAGTTGTCTAGCAACCTTGATTTGGTACGCTATTATAAATTATTGCAAAATAGATAGTCTAACAGGACCAAATCATTGCTATTCAAATTCTTTAAACTCAGTAATAAAATAAATCAATAATAACTTTAAATTATCAGAGTTGTTAAATTTATTAATTCCTCGCCAATTTATGTCAGACACCAAATTCGGAACCAAGTTTCTTTAATTTTCTTCAAGCATTTTCATTTTCATACAAATCAAATCATTGTCTATCTATCGTCATTCCTGGGTCAAGATAGGACCTGTCTTCCTCGCATCAGGTTGAGACCTGTCTTTTTTTGTTCAGAAAAACACCCAGCCTAGCAAACTCTCCTCACTCATTTCCTTCTGCTTGCTAATTCAGTCAAGACAAGATCCGTCCGTAGATCACACAGCTCACAGACAGAAATGGAAATTTGGAAATTAAAAATTTTACAAAATTTCCTAGCAATTGAAATAGCGTATCTCAACTTGTGCCATTGGGAAGTCGACTTGTTTAGGCAAATTTATCATATTGGGAACAGTTCGAAATTCGGGAGCCTTTCATAAGAGATATGTGGTAAGTATGGCGGTGTTAAGTCTGGTCTCATTGCTCGCATTAGTTTGTAATTTAATTATATGAAGTTGGCATGTTTTACAAAATTTTTGATTTAGAAATATTTGCTAATAGATCATATTGTTGCATGTTGAAATACGAAGTTTATTTCTAGTTTACATACTTCTACAGTTTATTTTCTTATATTTGTAGAATAAGGCGAATCGACAAACATCTCACATCGGTATAGCAGCAAGATGAACCCATCCAATGTGCATCCCTTGAACGCAGGTCAACGGTCACAATCGCCAGCCGTTCCAAAAGCCTACATTACAGCAGCAGAATTGCGCAGAATCCTCTCTCAATCCTCTCCCTCAGCTATGGTCAACAATGGTCAACAACAACCTCTTTCTTTATCCAACTTCCGGAGTGTTCCCCAACAAATGATGAGTGTTGGTGGCCAAGTTACGTGTATCGTCAATAGGACAGGCCTAAATCCAATAAACAGGTTGCAAATGAACATGCATGGAGTATTGGGAATCAGACCAACGCCAACGTATCAAGTACAACATGCGATTCGACAACCAGGAGGTGTTCCTCTGGTCAGGATGAGTAGTCCTACAACGATCTTACAACAGCAACCGTATCGACAATCACGACCTGCTATTTTAAAAGGAACAATGGTCACTGCGAATGGGAATTCAATGACAAAGAAAGTTTCCGTGATGACAACTGCATCTCTGGGGTCGATTAATGCTGCTGCACCACCTTCGGAAACTTCGTCAAGAGCAGCAACAAATATGCCCGCGTCGTCGTCTGCACCGACATTTAAGAATTTGCGTAAGTTAAAGCTTGTAGTTCTAAAGATGTTAAGATTCTTTCTTTGTACAATTGCAATATAAATATATTTTGGAATAGCAATGCCACTTCGGTCTCAACAACTACCATTGCACACAATGTACTTCCAAAATAACGAAATTCTGGATAAAGATGCTGATGTCATATTTCTTTGTGGAGATGGAGGTGGGGTCAAAGCTCACAGAATTATATTGGCTACACAATACAAATTATTGACTACTTTATTTAGCGATCAGGTAGCACAATTAGTTTAAGAATTAGTTAATTACGTGAAGAAGAGGTTTGGTTGATTCCATATTTTTCAATTGGTTTGGTTGTAGGCTCCTGGTGAAATCAGCGTGGTTTCTGTCCCGGACATTAGCAGCGAGACGATGAAACTAATCGTTCTCTTGGCATACAAAAGCGATGTCGTAGTCAACGCGGATCAAATTGAGAAAATGAAAGAGTTTTCCAAAATGTTTGGAATTGAATTTGGAAATTGGACTATCGGAAGTAATGTGAATGGAAAGTTGGACGTACAGTCGGGAAAAGTGATGGAAGATATTGTATGGAATACTTATGGCCAGCGACAAAAATTGGTCCCATCTTTCACTTCGCAAAAACTTACAAATTTGCAAAAAACGAAGGGATCCAACTCTGGACATGGACATCGGCCCAGGGCTGCTGAAGACCTTCTGGATTCACATTCATCCTCTGATGGCAAACAAGGTTTTTCCTACACTCCTCGCAACAATGATACTATTGTAAGTAGACTTACGGAATTATTATATACTAATAATTGATACTATTATTAGGACTGAATAATTGATTAGCATGTAATTTAATGTTTAGAACCGTCGCAAATCAAACCTCCCTTCCAAAATCCACCCTCAAATCGAGGCTTCTGATTCATCGGAAAATGATGTCACCTTACTAGAGGATACGGTTGGAAAGCCTGAGCCGAGTGCAAAACGTCCTCGCGTTGACACAAAGTTTCAATGCAGAACTTGCAATACCACGTTCTTCAATGAATCAGCCTGGAAATGGCATCAAGGTAAACAATAATACCAGAAATATGCTCGTTGTACTTTATGGGCTGTGAGTGAGCCTTGAAAGAGTTATCAGAAAGAAATTATTTCAATTATATTAGTTTGTAAAATTTAGTACATTTTTGATGTCTCTTAGATCGTCATGCGGGACATGGGATATTCAAATGCTCTCTTTGCGGCGAAATAAAAACTACGGCTCGCACAATTTGGAACCACGAATCAATTGAGCACAATTTTGTCGGATTACTACTGTCTCAAGTTTCGCCCATTACATCAGAAGAAAGATCTCGGAAACTACTGCTGCAAAGGAAGCTAAAACTGGGCGTCACTGGTAAAGATGTGTCCAAACTAAGCACATCCATGAAAGTTGATGAAGACTCGCTTGACTCCGGAGAATTTGGTTCCAAAAAAAGGAAAGAGATCCGCTGGATGTACATTTGCGCAAAATGTGAGCACTGCTCCTGGTCGGTGTATATGGCTCAAATGCATTTCAAGGAATGCTATTCAAACACTGAATCTCTCTTCGAATCGACTGTTACAAAATGCCGTCATGGGTTTTACGGGCAAATCAAATGTCCTCTCTGCCCACGAAGATACACCTCAAACATAGGCTGGGTACTTCATGTCGCCCGTCAACATAAAGAATTCCGACAACTTGTAGCTTCCACTGGAATGAAGGATAAAAAACTGAAGTGCTTGAATTGCAATAAGAGATATGAATCACCCGAAGAATTTCGCCTTCATCTCCATCAAGGGATGAAGTGCATCGATGACTCGATGCCTGTGCTGACTCCCAGTAAGAGATTATCACGAGCTGAAGCCAGTGAAACAGCAGATGCATCAACATCATCTCTTCCGCTATCTAAGATTGGTCAACGGAAAAAGCTCAAACTTATTGCTAAACCACGACATTCCAGATCTGCTCCTCCTTCTCCAATAATGACCCCAGTTGCTAAGCATGCGCTTGGAAAATTTATGGCCAAGGTCAAGAAGGGCAACGGTCAAGAAGACAATGACAATGAAAAGAGTCGACGTCCTGCAAAGCGAGATTCAGTAGTGACTGCTGCTGTTTCAGGTCATCAAGTCCCCCCAGCACCGAAATTACCCCCTGCAGAATGCCCATTCTGTGGAGAATTGATCTCTAATATATCAAAACACTTGTCTATCGATCACGGTGATATTGATCTCAGCGTTATGCGGATTTCTGAAGAAGACTTAAAGTGTCGCCGATGTCGAATGACTTTTGGAATCCCTGATTTGTTTGCCCATGCTGGAAATTGTCACATCTCATCGTCGTCCACATCGCTGGAAACGCAAAATTCCGGTAACAATAGAGAGGAAATTGTACACGAACCAGTTGAAATTCCTGTTGAGGTTGGTTCCTCCCCAATTGACGAGATGGAATATACTCTGGACGAACTAATGACTAAAAAGGTGCTCAAAAAAGCGTTGAAATGTCCCATCTGCAAGAAGTTAGGTGTACACATGAGGGATGCATCCGTCTGTCTCAAGCAGCATGGAATATTTAGATGTTCTCTTTGTTTCAATACGTACTCTCAACGAGAACATTTTGACCAGCACTTGCAAAAGTGCCATTATGACACCAGGAGCAGATTAAAGTGCCTCTTCTGCCCGGGCAAGACGTTCACCAACATTGGAAATTGTGTCAGTCATTTGCACCTCCACCACTGGATGAAAGTACTACTTCAAGTGCCGACGTCTCACAAATTGATGAAGAAGAAGATATCGAGGATAAGAAAGAACTTGATGATGCAACCAAGAAAATCGAAGGCGCAAACCTATCAGCAGCTATCAAATACTCGAGAGGAAACTTTAGTATTTGCCAGAAAGTCTGTCGTGACTCCAGTTTTTGAGTAGTAATGAAAATGATTGCATGAATCCTGCGAATGAATCCTTACCTAACCTACAACGATTTTGTTTTATTTATATCTTTTTCATTTGTATGCGTAAACTCATCTAGAACTTACAATAATTATAATATTTCTTAATCGGGTAGAATTTAATTTACAAAGATTTGTAACTACGCATGTTTCAGTTCATCAAATTTTTCCAAGAATTCTTGCTAGATAAATTGTACAAAGCTTTTTTTGTAAAAATGAGCCTTTATTTAATTGATAATATAAATGGCAAATTAACAAAATGTCCATGTCGTTGAGTTGCGGTTGAGCATTGAGCTCTTCATTAAATTGCACAATTAAAATTCACTCTTACTGAATACATGGACAACTTTTAACCAGGATCCTGTATAACATGATAGCGTAAAAAAGTATTTCATTTTTCTTTCGACATTGTTTTTGTAGAAATTTATGTACTAACATGGTTGGTTTAGGTTTGAAGTTGTCGCCATCTTTTATGGTGATCATCGAAAACTACATAGTAAAATGTCGATACATTGATGAGTTTAAAATGAAGTAGGTTTGCATGCAATTGACAATGCATGCTTTAAGCATGTATTTAAAGAACCAGGTCGCTTCCTGTTTACATATCGCACATAGCTAGTTAAATTGTTTAGAAAAAATTGTAAACAATTTCTTCGCATATGATAAATTGTAGTATAAGGAGTACCCTCAAAATCTCAGCATGAATCCAAAACTTGTCATATTGGGAGTTTTGGGGGTCATTTGGGTATGGTGAACTTGTCTTGATATCATAACCTGGCTGGTTGGTTGAGTTTTACAATTTCTTAGATTAGCCGTGCCACCCCCACTGGTCATGTTTTGGAGAAGCGTGAGGAGGACGATATGGACACGGGTAACATGAATCTTTAAATCAGCCATTTAACTAGTCAGACGTATCAATTTATTAATCATACAAACATAGGCTCAATGCGCTTTCTACAACTACTATTGCTCATCCACTTCCTCCGGTTTAACAGTAATAATAACCTTAATACGGTACTCATGAGCAATCCACTGCATTAATAACTCAAGATCAGTTAAATATTATGCATCATAAAAAGCTGCCTCATCATCATAACTATAATCCTCAGCATGCTCCTCAGGATTCTCATAACTTTGTAGAGGAACATTGTGCATATCACTAATAATACGTCGTCTATTTACTAAAAACTTCGTGTCTAATCTACAATTAACATTAACAAAGTCTTGTCGAGTATCTGGTCGTGGTGCGTGCAAATAACTAACTATTGCTGATCCTAGAATCGTCATACACTCTGCTTTTTCCATGTCATCCTTGTCAGTCAATATACGACGTGGTTCAAATGTAAACTTGTGACCCCTCTCCTTACATACACAAATAAGAGTTTTCCCTGCGGCCTTATCAGAAAAGTGTTTTTTACTCCAATCGGTGGTGACTCCTCTGTATTCGAAATGATTGTTCGATTCCCGATATAGGACAATCTTTGACTCTTTGAAGGACTCTTCATTAAATGGGACACCAAATAAGTCAGAAAGACCAATTGACTCGAGGTCTTCATCTGACACGGATCCTTGTAGGGTAATTGTGATGCCCAGAGAGTGGAGTAGTGGTTCCAGTTGCAGATTAACGGGAAGTACGACACGGTCTGATATGTATTGGTAGGTCGTGTCATTCAAAGCCTTGAGGATATGGCAGAACTGCAAACCAAATGGGACACATTACACACCCGCACTAATTTATGTATGCAAATTCACAATTATAATGCACCTGAAGACAAGATATTTTCTCTACCGCTTCCTGGTAAGTAGTAAAAATCCAACTCTCTGTGACGACTGAAGGAACATTCGGCGAATATCCCTGTTTGTGCTGAAACCATAGTTTTTGTAGATACTTCCTCGTCTTTGCATCACTCCTCATTATCCACATGAACTTGGAACTGTACATGTCGGCAGGGGTGGTTTTCATTTTCTTCTTCGTTCTCATCATTGTTCTGAACACGCGATATTTCCAACACCACATGCACCTCAGTGTTGTAATGTATAAAACAGTGTGGAAATTCCACATCAATGTGATCTCCTTCCAGTCTAAAACAACCTGCGAACGAATGATAATTTTCACTATTAATTTAACTAGTCATTACAGTACACATGTCAACCTTACCTGGAGTCGTGCACAATAAAAAACGTTTGTTTGCGTTTCGTTTGACCTCTCCAGCATCAGAACTTGAGCACGGGTCAACTCAGGATACGAAGTGGCGAATAATTCTAATATTCGATCAGAGGCAGCCTGGTCAATTTGGTCGAGTGGTTCCACCTCCTCTTCAGTTTGCATTACGTGATGACTGTTGAAATAAGTAGAAATTTACATTCCCATCTTGAATGTTTTATTTTTTTCAATTCATGCAATTCATAAGTTAACAGTGAATTTATTTTGTTCCATATAGTCCAACAACATGGTAAAATAATTGTGGAAATTACTTACATCGGGAATGCCATTTTATCGCCTATCTTGTCATTCAAATAAATAAAATTGTCGTGTTTACAAAATTAAAATTCAGCTTTGTTTCCAAAACTGTCAAACTCAAATCCTAAACAGTCCGACGAACCAAATGTGGGTGAAGTGATATTGTGATCTGATTTATGTCATGTTTTATTTCATTTCAGATTTTCCCATGGACGAGTACTATCGTAATACTCTAGTTGACTTTGTATTATCGTAATTTGCTTATCATTTCACCTCAGCAATTTATTATTGCAGAGAATTGTGGAAACACTTACCGGCTAATTCAGAAGCCATGGAAGATGATCTCTCCTTACTACTCCAAAAAACAATACGGCGAAAACGTTACTTGCAAGTGGACATTTATTGTAAATATGTGAACAAATCCGTGTCATCCAAAAATATGATCGTATGTATATACATGGACTTCATTATTTACAGGGAGACACCAATTGTACGCCAGAATTTTCGTGCAGAAAGTTCGAGCTGCGTAAACTGGATGACGACTGCTCGACGGAATATGTCAAAGTTTCAGATGGCTTTGGCGGAGAGCAGAGTTTTTGCGGAAAGCAGACGTTCGAAAAACCAATCCGTGCCAGTCAAGGAACTCGAGATTTGTTTGTCGAATTTAAAAGTGCAGAAGATGCCAAATTCCCAGAAAAAACTGCAGGATTCTTTTGTGAAGCTAAATGCTCCAAGAATATTGGCGAGTTAATTGACCGTCGTACGCCAACATTGCAATTTTGAATGACAAGTTGAATTTTGTAGGCAATACTCAAGAAATCCCAGTAGTCAAACACAAGAAGGAAGATTCTCGCTGCGGTATGGAGAAAATATTGTTTGAATTTTTATACGGTCAATAAATGTGTGAATATAGTTTGCGGAATACAAAATAAGGACGATCGTATTGTCGGTGGGGAAGACGCCAAAATGGTAATTTTCTAAAAATAATGCAAGCAAAATTTTAGATTTGAAAATTATTAACAGAACGAATTCCCGTGGCAAACTGCCATCATTTTGGCTGGTACACGATCACCAATGTGCGGTGGAAGTGTAATCAACGACAGGTACTTAAACGCGATTGCAGTTATAAATATTTACTCATATAATTAACTTCAAGTTGGATTAAAATTAGCAATTAATTTTCCAAGGTTTATACTGACGGCTGCCCGTAAGTTTACACAAAATTAGCGTTCATTGAAAATTTAAATTACCATCAAACTTGTGTAGATTGTTTTGCACTACAACCAAAGAAAGTGAAAGCAGAAGCGATCGAAGTACTCATCCATGCTTGGCTGTTAGATCAGACGCTTAAAGGCAACTGGGCCGATAAGCCACTTGGGTCAGTACAACATTTTTGCTGAATTCACTTTAAAGTAGTTACATTTATATTTAAATTACATTTTTCGAAATAGAGAGCTCGGGTCAATTCAAAGCTCAGGATATAACTTGACAAAAGTTACAGATGAACAAGAACATAGCCAACGGTTTAAAGTAGCAGAAATCATTAATCATCCACTTTTCACTTCAAAGTAAGATAGAAAACAACCCAAATTAGAATACCTTCATTACCTGCTAATTATTCTGCAGGTACGATTACGATGTAAGTTTACTCCGACTTGAAAAGAAAATTGACCTCAGCGCAGCAGACGCCCCAACCCCCATTTGCTTGCCTGGACCAGGACAATATGAGCAAACTTTTGAAGCTGAAACCCCAACAGTGATTGGGTGGGGTATGCTATGCTTAAAATATATAAAATACACTAAAAATCTATAGTCAACATTTAATTTTCCTTATCAAGGCATGGCTGCTGACAATGCTGGTGGAACGACCCGTGTCCTCCAGAAACTGAAAGTGCCTGTCATCAACTTGAAAGTGTGTCAATCTTGGATGTCGTCCGTCCTAACTCAGAGGATGTTGTGTGCTGGATATGAAAATGGAGAAAAAGGTGCATAGTTTTCTTCTTTAATTTCTACCAATAATTTTAATTAATGAAAATTTCCTGTAATTTTAGATGCTTGCATGGTATGATTCAACCCGGTATAAAACATACTATTATAAAAGCTGTGTTATAATTTTAGTTTATTTTAAAACTTCTAGGGGGACTCTGGGGGTATGATTTTTAGATTCTACCTGACAAACTGAAGTTGTGCAAAATATTATTTACAAATTTCTAGGTCCACTGGGTTACCAACAACCAAACAAACAGTGGAAGCAGATTGGCGTCGTTTCATGGGGGGAAGGCTGCGCGAGGAAACATCGTCCCGGATATTACAGCAGGTGCGTAATATATTTATATTTAATTTTCAAAACCCTATTTCTAGAAATACTTTACTCTTTTCTTTGAATCCTTCTTTTCTGCAGATTAACAGAATTAATTCAGTGGGTCAATCACCATACATTGGACAACAGTGCGACATGGTGCAAAGATACAAAGGCATAAATTTCAATTTACTTTAGACAAGTCTAAAAAAATACTGAAACTGTTTATTAAACAACGATTCGTAATAAAATCAAAGGAAACTAAAAGTATCTTGCGTATTTGCAACTCCTCCAGGTCCAAATATAAGGGCTTGCAAAATGTTGGCGAAATTTGTTGGCCAATAATACCAATACATTGGGAAAGTCATTTCACCAACAGCCTCGTCAAAGTCTGGTATTCTCTGGAGCTATGAAAACGATGAGAACTATGAAAACATATTTACGTACGCATTCACATGAGTGTTAAAATACCTCATCAATCACCATCGACGAACCTATTGAAGCCATTGTCAGAGCATAACATGCCCAACAAGCTTGTAAAGGACAAATTATAAGGCCAACTTGTAACGACCGGTAAACTACACGGGTTCCGCCACATCTGCAAAACTTTTGTAAAAAAAAATGTGTAATGTTTAAAAATTTCCATCCAATTTGCATGCATTATGCATTCGTTTCGTAACCAACTTCTCGTTTAAAAACTGGTGAGGAGTGAACAATAAGCGAGACAGCTTGTAAAAGCTTTATGTGAAATGCGATCGGGAGATTTTTCCTGTTCAAAAGCCACACAATGAGATGAAGAACATCTTCCGATTTTGGATGAGAACTGAATGGAGAAAAGTAACAAGATCTGGAAATGTTAAAGATTGATTTTTCCAAAGGTTCCAAATCCTCGAGATCCACGGGATCCCTGGACAAATTGAGACAAATTAATTATTACAGTCTATGTACCAATATCATTTTTTTTACAATTTTGGCAACTGCTTCACTTCTTTCACAATCATATTCCTCTCGATTCTTATATCTTCCCAGTACAAATCACAAGGTCTGAGATCCAACGCATTTTTGGGTTCCGTTGGAGTTTCCTCTATTTTGTATCGTTCGATACCAATGCGATGACAAAATTCTTCAAAGACATTGTCAGGAACGGGATGTGGCAAATCTGAAAATAAAATTAAGTAAATTGTGGACAATGCTCTTGCCAAAATTAATACTAATTGCCTAGTTTTACCAGTGCGTAATGGTTCATAAACTTGCGGATGACCAGTTGCATTCCGCTGTAGCACTTTTCTTTCCCTTTCCCCACGAGCAATTTCCATGTTGGCGTACACCAAAGCAAATCCAGGATAACCCGGCCCAATTGTGGAAGCTATTTATAATTGAATTATTACTCTTAAATTGGTGGAAAATGCATAAAATATATGTAAATACATACGTCTGTGGGGCTCCGGGAATTTCACCCTCATTAATTTCAACTTCTTTTTCCCTTCATTAGTTCGAATTTCATGTCGTTTCTTTCGTTCTTCCAACTTTTGTCTGGGTGTAGTCTCCCAGGGAAATTTGACAAGTCGAGCTTTTCTCCTCTTCCTGTATTTCAATCTCTTTTGAACCCGACGACCGTATCGAATCCATTTTCCAACTAGCAGGCCAGGAATATGCATGTTGTTAATGAGAGAAAACACCCCTGATTTGGTGGTTAAATGACAAATCTGCTAACTGAAATCTTGTAGAAAGACAAAGAAATTCTACACAAGTCATTATGATTGGTTGTCATGAAAGGTCGATTAAAAAAATAAGTTGGACGGCTTGATAATTTTTGTATACTTTATTGCGCAACACTACAATAAAATATTTTGTTCACAACTTCTCATAATTGACAGATTGGGTGTAAACCCTTAAAACTTAAACACGACCGACAGGTACATATATGACTTTACGGAAAGGAAAAATAGAATAAAATTACGCATGATTGTACAATTAAAACCTTTGATAATCCAACTAAAATTTAAGTAAAGACGAAACAGTTAGACTGCTTTCACATCGCTAAATTTGCTTGTGTAATTGCAGCATGCATTATTATAAAACAGGTTTAGATAAGACTTTCTTCATTTGAATTGACAGCATGTCATCGACACTATTTCTATCCTCGAGTATATTACGAAATTCAATAGAGTCAGTAAGAATTGTATTGTTATTGTTATCATCCTCGGCTGTGAGGATTTCTGCGGCTGCTGATGTTTGACTATCCATTCTCACAAATTTGCCTGCATTTCCTTCTTTTATTTCTTCAACCAGAGTTTCGCAAATCCACAATGAGATAAGGAAGTAGGCGAAGCAAATCGTGTAGGCAAATACCGTTATCAAAGTTCTGGGAGGTTGGACCAGCAAATGCAAAGCTACTACGAAGATTAAAATTACTTGAAAAATGTTCCAACATTTTAGCATACTTTGGTCCCTCTGAAAACCATTTAGAATTTACAGTTAGTTCAATCTTGCGTTAAAATTTGGTTATTTTGTTTGACTGAAATTAGCTTAAAAATTCTTACTCGAGATGCTGCAAGTTTTAGCCCAACTGACATCGGGATCCATAAAATGAGTAAAACTAAAATAGGAAGAATTTATAAACGATAAATCCCAAGAAGAAATGGATGAGGATTTTTTGAACTTCACTTACAAAATAATTTCACTAATGACTGAATTAAATATTGTCCACGGGGGTCGTTAAGTAAGAATAATTCCAGATTGTCTGCTCCTTCAATTGAGAAGTAAATGTAAACCCCAAAAAGTGGTAAGCCTAACAGTGCCACGGCCTGTGTGTTACAAAAGAACGTATTTTATTTTAGCGAAATTTTGAGGAGTTAGCTCCCCAACATTTATCAAAATGCTTAAAATGCTTTAATTAACTATTTTGACTTACGATATTAATCCATGCGAGCGATTCCACTTCGAATTGGGCAAGTGATCGTGTCATTATTTACTTGATAGTGTGTGGTGGATAAAAAAAATGTGGCTAAAAACTGTGTTTACTGTAGTGAAAGCTTGGTTAAAATAGAAGAAGGCAGCAAATTTATTAAGATAAGTAATAAAACTCAACTAAACTAAACTACACTATCAATTCGCCTCCAAAGCTCAAATATGAATGAAGAACGAGAAGGCAAGTAACTAAGTTTGGAGAAAATTTGTGACGTGAAGCGATATGCAGTGTGGTGAACTATGAGGATTCATTAATTTGAATTGAATGTCCTTCAACAATAATTAAATTAAGTCCTTAAACTTGACCACGCACGAGGACAACAAATGCAAATCCAAAACCCAAATTCTATTTTCTTGTTCTGTTCCACAACTCAATTCCTTGTAATATTATTCTGCAATTTGTAAACTGTTGCTTCTGGACAGTTCATTATAGTCAAAGATAAAGATAAAGTATCAAAGATAAAGTTTTATGAAAAAGTGTCTCAAATTCCTAACTTACCCCAAACGTGTTGAAATGCATTGTCTCAGTTTGCCTCTTAAACATAATGATCAAAGGATATACTGCAACCTGCAACACCCTCCTATTATACGTTTAATTATTCCGTATGTTGACAGAAAGTTTATATTTCATTTTAGCAAATGATGATAAGTGCTTATCGAAAATATAAGATTTTGTTAGTTATTTTATTATTTTTCGGAATGTAAAATTTTAAGAACGAGGAAATTGAGACGGACGATATTGAAACAGTTTTAGAAGGAAAGAAACGTGGGGCATCGGAAGACGGATTGGCGCAATGTTGAATTTCGGTATAACGAAAGTACCACGCAAAAGTTCAAAGTAAAACGAGCGTTTAAAGTTTGTTAGTTTGTTGAATTGAACGTTAATTAATTAATTAAAAACTACTGTGAATTGTGAAATATAATACAAAGTGAAGATGTTGGCCGCATTAAAAGCGTACGGGAAGAATTCAGATAGTTCGGCCTCAGATTCTTCTGACGGTGAGTCTGAAGCTGCTGTTGCATCGGAAAAGAAAGTTGAAGAAGAACTTCCAGACTATTTAAAACCAATTGATCCTGAGCGTTCACTTGCGAGCCGGATGCAGATTGTGGCGGCACCGGATGTCATTGTTAATGTAATAATTTGAGTAATTTAATTAATTATAGATTACTGTTATTCAGAATTATAAGTTTGAAGTTGTTTATTTTTGTTACATGTTGTAAATTTATGGTTTACAGAGCAGCCTGGATCGCAGACGACATCTTGATCCTTTGGCCAAAGAACTTACGTATAATCCAAAATACGAAGAACTGTTTGCGCCAGTAAAGGGACCAGAACATCCCTTCAAGACAAACCAACAAAAGGCACACAAGAACACACTATCCGGCTATGTGGAGAAAGCTCATATGAATGAGTTTAATTTTGAAAACCAGAGAAGAACTTTCCACAGTTATGGTATGAAATTCATCCATGATTTAAACGTTATAATTTATATAATTAGTGATTTTAAAATCAGTTGGTCACATTTTTTTAAAATTGTTACAGGTTACGCTGTCGATCCGTCAGTCGATTTGACCATGGGCGCAACTCCAAAAGTAGTTGGCGTCGCTCCGGAAAATGCTTCTGCAGGAGAATTGAAGACTGTTTTTGAAACTATCAAAGCACGACCAAAGGATAAGAGAAAGAGATTAAGAAATGACAACCCAGAAGATGTTGAGGGATTTTTAGGACCCTGGGGTGCTTTTGAAAATCAGGAACATGTTTCGAAACCAACAGAGGTAATTATGAGAATTTCAAAATTGTGTATATTATTTTATTTCTTGATATTTATACTACTCAAACAATTTTTGTGTAATCAGGATGAATCAGCCGAATTGGAAGCAATTTTGGCTAAGAGGAAGAAGCGACAGAAGAATGTGGACGACAAACCGATGGAGGAAAAGAACATACTTCACATCAAGGATCCTGTGGTTAGCAAATTAACGATTTATTTTATACTTGCATTGAATTTTAAAACTTGCATTTCGCAAAATATTTAAATCTCGTATTATAATACAGGATTATCAAGGAAGGTCATTTATGTCTGCTCCTACGGATGTTGGAGTGAACCTAAAATCCAAGGAACCTCCAAACAAGTGTTTCATTCCCAAAAACCTTGTTCATACTTTTACTGGACATACGAAGGGGGTTGCAGCAATCCGATGGTTACCTCAAACTGCTCATCTTTTCTTATCGGCTGGACTCGACGGTCGTGTAAAGGTTGGTTGATATTATATTACTTCCTGCGTAATTTAACGTGTGCTGAATTTTATATACGTGTATCTGTTTAGTTGTGGGAAGTCTATGGACAAAGACGTTGTGTTCAAACTTATATTGGACATAAGCAAGCTGTCAGAGATATCACATTTAATAACGACGGGTCCAGATTTCTATCAGCAGGTGAGTATTACTAATTCTTCTCCATATAAGACCTAATTATTAAATGAAATACATAATTCCTTATGTATTGAAATGCAGCGTATGACCGGTACATCAAATTGTGGGATACGGAAAAAGGACAGTGCATTTCTAGATTCACCAATAAAAAGATTGCATATTGCGTCAAGTTTAACCCTGAAGAGGAGAAACAACATCTTTTTGTTGCTGGTACTTCCGATAAGAAAATTATTTGCGTAAGTTTTGCAGTTTATTATTTTTTGATTGATACAGAATAATTTACACTCTTTGTAATAATTTACACATTTGAATAATTTGGTTTCTTTCTTTATTTAGTGGGACACAAGAAGTGGGGAAGCCGTACAAGAATACGATAGACATTTAGGAGCTGTAAACACAATTACTTTTGTCGACGACAATCGTCGATTTGTGTCGACTTCAGATGATAAGTCTCTCCGAGTGTGGGAATGGGACATTCCAGTTGACATGAAGTATATCGCCGACCCAACAATGCACAGTATGCCTGGTAAGCAACTGTTCTTTTATGGATTTTTAAATGACAAATCATTGGAATTGGTAACATACATGCTAACTTATGAACTACTTTCTATTTTCAGCCGTAACCCTTAGTCCAAACCAGAAATGGCTGGCGTGTCAAAGTTTGGACAACAAGGTCGTGATATTCACTGCACTAAATCGTTTCAAACTTCATCGCAAGAAAACCTTCAAGGGACACATGGTGGCTGGATATGCGTGCCAATTAGACTTTTCTCCTGATATGAGGTGAGATCACAAGAATACATAATTGAATGAATCTACTTCAACTACAATGAAACTTCTAATTGCAGCTACCTGATTTCTGGAGATGGGGACGGAAAAGTATTTGTCTGGGATTGGAAAACAACTCGCGTCTTTGGAAAGTGGCAAGCTCATGACAAAGCGTGTATCGGCGTTTTATGGCATCCGCATGAAACTTCCAAAATCTTGTCCTGTGGATGGGACGGTAACATCAAACTTTGGGACTAGAAAAAATATCCCTACTTCATATTCGCCTTTGTTTTACATTTTAACACTTTCACAACTCTCACAAGTTATTTGTGTTTAATTTCGATATCTATTTAAAACAACTCTGCTCGTATTCGTAATCGATGACTTATGAAATAGTGTCAGATATTATAAATTGTTAGTTCTGGTTTATTTATGTATAATTATAATTTTTGTAATTGATAAGTGTATTAAAAATCCATGCAAAATGTTACTTTGACTTTTACTCCAATGCTTTATTCCAATCACGTCTAGTTCTCGGGGTAAATGGCTTTCGCTTCTTCACCGCCATATCATATCGATTGCTTTCGCAAACAAAAACACCAGTGAAAATATTTTTATAAAACTTTTTTTTCTGTTTCTGAATTAAGCCGTGATATTCGCATTTCTGGAACTTGTTGTATCTACAATTGTTAATTGGCTTACATTGATCCATAAATTACAAAATTACTTTACTTTTACTGCAAGAAAAGAATAAGTGAACTAATCCACCAGTTGCGCATATCAAAAATCAATCATCACATAAATTAATTAGTTACTAGTTATATCTACAACGTATTGCATTTTTCTAACGGTTTTAAGAGTGCACATCGTTTTGGTTATCGTCTCATAACCGTGGTGTTAATTCGCCACAACATCGCTGACACGCAACATGTCGTCGAAACCTGGAACGTCGTCGGGTTCTTCTGCCCCTGTAGGAAAAGAAGTTGAATTTCAGGAATTTTATACAGAGGTTAGCAGTACCTTTACTTTGGAATCTAATCTAACCATCAAACACTTTGACCTTTAATATAAATACAAAATACAAATGTTGACTAACTTTTTGAACATAATTTATTAGGTGAAACAAATAGAAAAGCGTGACTCGGTTCTCACTCCTGTACAGCAAATAGAACGACTTCTAAGGGCTGGATCCACCTATTTTAATTTGAACCCGTTTGAAGTTTTAAACGTCGACCCTGACCAACCACTTGATGAAATAAGAACAAAGTACAAGCGTTTATCCATATTGGTTCATCCTGATAAAAACATGGATGACAGGGAAAGGGCACAGTTAGCTTTCGAAGGTATAAAGACTCATGATATTTCACAGAAGTATCATTTAATAGTTGATAATTCATAAATATTTGACTTTGTTCTACAGCCGTCAACAAAGCTTGGAAGACGCTAGAAAATGAGGAAACTAGGCAAAAGTGTATGGATATTATAGAGGAGGCGAAAGCAAGAACTGATATTAATGTAACAGAATCATTATTATTGCTTCACATTTGCTTATTTATTATTTATGATTAATAATTTAACGGTGAAATTACTTAAATGCCAGGTACAAGAGAAGAAGAAAAAATTGAAAAAGGAAGGCAAATCTACAAGAGTTGAGGAAGATGATCCTGAAAAATTAAAGCATGCGGTTTATGTACTAACAATGAAATTATTTGCTGATTTAGAACGGAAGGTAACGAAGAAAGAAAGAAATGGTTTGAAGTTGGTTATAAAAAAATGTAATGAATTTTTCTAGAAACGAACTCAAGAACAGCGTGACATGGAAGACCGTAAGAGAAAGCGAGAAGATGAAATTGAGCAGGAAGAGAAATCAAAGTTTGAGAAGGAGTGGTTAAAAAATTATGAGGTAACATTTAATGTTATATATGTCGTTATTATGTACCAAATTTTCTGACTGACCTGCAATTAAAACATGATTTTTTGCAATGTAGGACTCAAGAGAAGGAAGAGTAGCATCCTGGAAAAATTTCCAGACAGGAGCCTCGAAAAAGAAGGAAAAGAAAGAACAAGCGGTAGATAAGCCTGCGAAAAAAATTAAAGTGTTTCGACCACCCAAACATAAACCGGAATCCAAATAAGTTGATTCCTAAGTAATAATGTAAATTTTAGTTTTAAGATGTAGATAAGTATTTGTCACCTGTTAAGAACAGGAAGTGTAACATGTCATTTATTTGTTATTTGTTTTATTGAATTACTGAAGTAGCGAAATAATGTGTATTGCAAAAATTTTGCAAACAATCGTAATTTCGATATATGTCTAGAAATCTGGTTTAGTTATTATTCTTCTATTTATTACCAAAATCTGAAATAAATTTTGTCAGAATCATGTTTTATTAAGTATCCAGTATATTTACATAAATAATAGTAACTTGTTCATTTTATACAATCATGGATTCGTTCTAAACAAAGCTACAATACATTAAAGTCAATGAAATAAAAAAAGGTGATTTAATAGGCCAACGACTCTAACATTGACCCTGGCACTCTCACACAGTTTTAATCTGGTTCGAACTGCATAAAAAACACAAACTGCATAAAAAACACAAACTGCGAACTACAGAATCTATGGAATAGTAGCGAGTTACATAACATTAACACCACCATGCAAAAAATAGTGACAAGTGAAAAGTTTAATTTTAGAAATCTTTGCATATATTCAATGAATGCTGGTAAAAGTTTCGTCTGCTCACTGAAATCGGTTTCGTTGTTGCCTCGACCTTCAATATATCGAGAAATCTCAAATCGTGGCCAAAAATCGCAAATCCTGCAGTTCCGATTAGACTTTGATCTCAAAGAAACCTTTTGTCATTTGTTCAATCATGCGAAACATGAATGTCTGCAAGAATCCTCATAAATATGATCCATTTATTTCTAACAAGGAAAAACTCATGTGATCAAATTAGTACTAGACAGTCCAGCATTCATCCAATTGCATGCATGCTAAATAGATTTACCGCATGACAAGAGATGCACGTAATAATTTCCAAACTAATAATGGTCCAGCAAAATTGCTGTTGCAAAAATTGTTGCAAAAACTTGTCTTCGGAAAGTCTGCAGAGATTTTCACCAATCATGATGATTTTGCAAAGAAGATTGCATTCAATTGTCCATGAATGTTTTTGCCTATAATTTCATCATGTCTTCAACGTGTCGCTTCGCTCTTATTATTTTATTCGATACCGTAGAATCCAACAATCAAATTAGCACAAGTGCACAAGTTGCGAAACAAGTTGTGTTGCAGTAGATCTTTGGCAAGGATGGAATATGCCAATAAACACCTAAATCTTAATATATTGAAAATTTTTAAAGTCCAAACAGCAATTAATTGCCAATAAGGAAACTCATTCGTTGTTGACAGTAAAATTAAACTTGATAACAAATACCACATACCTATCGTCTTGTTTAATGTATGGTTTTGTTTTCAAATTGCATACACTTCCACATACTTGCAGAGTTTGGTCATGAATGAGCATTTCTCTCGTTTAACAACATTCATTGAAGGAAGGCAGTTCAGTATTAGTACTCTGTTCTTTTGCATATTAGAGTCTTCAATACGTCTCTTGTTTGTTGAATGAATTCACAATACACAAAAGATTCGCAAGATTTTAAATCGGCCTACGGAGTGCTGAGACAAAATTGTGAATCGACTTTGAGATTCGGTTGCCAGTAGAGTAGGGAACTTTCCGTAAAATTACCAGTCTCACTCTTTACAATAATGATGGACGAAGAAAATTTGTCCCACGATAGCAGCAGCAGTGCAAGTGCTAAAACTTACAGAGATCTGGAAGATGACAAAAAGTGGAAACAGGTAAAAAAAAACAAATATTTATTTTGTTCCATTTTCACGTAATTTACTTTATTTTTATCAGATCCTCATCGCACTAGCAATTTCGTATATTTGCATATCTGGTGGAAACCTAATTGGTTATACTTCGTCAGCTATCCCATCTATTCGCACAGGAAGTTCGGTTCCGTTTCTCAGAATTTTGGAAAATGAAATTACAATGGAATCGAAAGACGTGTCCTTGACGGATGTGACTTATCGAATTCAAGAAATTGACAATATCTTGGAATCAACGGGGAGTGAGAAAGTTGAGACGACTCGTCTCAACAACTGCAACAAGGAGTTTGCAGAACTAACGGACTCGCAAGCGTCTTGGATTGGTGAGATACGCACACATTCTGTAAATGCTGAAATATTAACATAAAGTCTTGTGTATCTTATTTTCAGGTGGCTTAGGACCCCTGGGTGCATTTTTCGGGTCTTTACTAGCTCCAATTCCAATAAAAATTTTGGGGCCAAAGGGTGTGATACTAAAACTGGGGTCATACGTCTATGTCTTATCTTGGTTCATCACAGCTTTAGCTCCAAATCTGAGCTATATTTACATCTCACGATTTTTGGGTAACATACATATTTAATACGCTTAAATATGCAGCTTATATCTTTATCTGTACATTAAAGCTAATTGTTTACACTTATCGCAGGTGGACTGGCTATGGGCACAACATTTTCCGCCGTGCCAATTTATATTGTTGAAACTGCCTCGTTGAAATTACGTGGTCCACTTGGAACGCTATCCCAGTTTCTGTTTACTATCGGTGTCCTCATGAGTTTCGTCTTTGGCTACTTTTTGGACTTTAGGACGTCAGCCCTCGTCTCTGGTCTAGTTGTCCTTCCAAACTTTATAATTTTGCCCTTCATTCCAGAATCCCCAACCTGGCTCCTTTCCAAAAAGAAGATTGGAGAAGCGGAATGCGCTTTTCGAAAAATTCGAGGATTTTCAATGGAGGAATTTCAACAACTCTCTCATCATCGGATCTCATTGGATGATGATGTTGATTCTGCCAGTAATTATTCTGCCAAGCAAAGAAGCAGTAAAAGTTTACTCCGATCGCCAAAAGAAGTCAGGAGCATTTTCGTGGTCATGTTCCTCTGCATATTTCAACAGTTGACCGGAATCAACGCGGTCAATTTTTATACCGTTACAATTTTTGAGATTGCTGCGGGTGGCAACTCATTCTTGGATGGACATTCCTCCGCTATTTTGGTAGCTTTGGTCTTTTGTCTGGCAAATGTTTGTAGCTACCTTTTGATAGAAAGATTGGGAAGAAAGTGTCTCCTAATCGTTTCCACCACGTTCATATCTCTGTCCGCATTTTCACTGGGGACCTATTTCTACTTGTTGGAGACTGAATATGACACCAGCTCCTTGTCATTTGTCCCACTGGCATCTTTGGTCACATTTGTTCTCGCTTTCTCCATCGGATATGGTCCATTGCTTTACGTAATTGTGGCCGAAGTGCTGTCCAGCAGGGTGAGATCTGTCGTGACCCCGGTGGCAGTGGGGGTAAATTGGCTTTGTGTATTTTTAGTGGCCAAAACATTTCCTGGTCTACTTCAGGCACTCCAGGCGTATGGAGCATTTTGGATGTACGGTAGCTTTTCAGTTGTTTCCTTATTATTCACAATTGCCTTTGTTCCTGAGACTAAAGGCAAATCTGAAAAGCAGATTCAGGATTTCTTTGTAAATAATAATAAATCCGTTCCATCAACAGTTGCAGCTTGAACAGCAGTAAAGCACATTACCTAAAAATATTATAATAAACTTATTAAGTTTACTGAGTAATTTTTGCACGCGTCGTCCTATTCATACATAAACAAGTAACAATAACAAAACAATAACAATGCATTTTATAATATTTATACAATTCCTGTATAATAAATTTGTTTGTAATTCTTTCATACGTTCATTTCGATGACTATTTTGTAATTATATTTTGATGCTAATTTCAAATGATTCTCATTTTGTTAAGTGAATGCAGTGTATAATGACGCAAACCAAATAAACATATAAGTGCTTAAAAGTACATGGTACACAGTGGTGTGCATGTGTTATTATCTTCTGCATCTGGAATTTAACCCCAGCTTTACTTTTACAACGACTTATTCGCAAAACAATGTTCGAATGGACACGAAAACGACTAGGAACAGTGCAAAATTGTTGACTTGATAATGCACACGCGAGCACAGGATACCGGGTTAAACTCGAGTTCATTCCCTGGCTGCGTGAACTGCTTTCATTGCAAAAAATTAGCACCTTTGCTATTTTTAAAACATGCGAACATTTTTATGTGAGACTTGCGTCGTGTATTGATGATACTATTGCAATTTGGTGTTAAAAACACTTGAGCATTTATATAAAGAACAAATGGCAATACAACTTTATAGATGTCTACTCACAGAACTGGATATGTTGCAATTTCTCTAGTTCATAACTGGCATTAACTGGTTCAAGTGCACTAAATTTTGTAATATCCAGACACAATTTTCTAGAAACTGTCTGACTCACGTTCGTTCTTTTATCGGCTTCCGGTTTAAGTAGGAAACAAATTTGTGCATGACGAATTATAGTCGATCGTACAAAACTGCACTTTTTAAGATCAGTTCCTTCTGGAAATTGGGTGTCATCGTTGCACGACTGTTTTGACCTGCAAATTTAACTTGCGTAGTTATACCATAATTTTTAAAATCAGTTAAACATAAAATCCTCTAAGAACTGGTATATACAAAAATAGAGCTTCCGTTATTGAAGTGCATGCGTCAAACTAAAATGGTTCGTCTTTACTTCAAAGATCATTAACAACATTTGAGTCACCTAATTTGAAATAGATTCTCATTTTGTCAGATCTAATTTAATTCTGACGTCTTTACCCTTACGTAGACAACCGTTATCGTACATAACACAATCTTGTCCGTCAGGTTATTGGGTACGTAGTGTCTTATCCCAAGAAATATAATTATTGCTCTACTGGACAGTACAGGGTACAAATAATGATGTATCGCATATTTAAATAATTGGATATGAAAGCATTGTGATAATTTATTCAACCACGGCATCAAAAACTTTATAATTAAATCATGCAAAGTCAGCAAGAATAATGATTATAAGGATTTGCTCTTGAAATAGTTATGCAAGTAGACGTGAGTAAAGACTTTTGGACATCTATATAAAAGAGCAAACATTTTATGCATGCATTCTTGAACTTAAGACAAGATTGGCACAAGGCAAAAGTGTGAGACGAGGTTAGGACATCAGTCTTTGTTCTACAAGATCAGTAATTTATAAATACATATCTTATACATTGTGAAAATAAAAAATGGTGTCAATGGAGTTTGAAAATGAAAACTTTCTGGGGAGAGGGAAAAAGCAATCCGAGTCCCACTGGTCACAGGTTGATATTTTTTTTAATTTCAAAATTATAGTCTTTTCACAATAATTAAAATAAATATTTCAGGTATTTTCCGTTTTCTCTGTGTCATACCTCTGCATATCTTGTGGGAACTTTCTTGGTTACACATCATCCGCGGTACCGTCAATAATTGAAGATACTGACACATTTTCAGAAATATCACATCATGAAATTTCTTGGATTGGTAAGTTTTACTAAACGCATAAAACGTGTACAAAAAAACCCATCTAACTTTGGACACTACATAAAATCATGTCAGGTGGACTTGTTCCTTTGGGTGCAATGGCTGGTTCACTTTTCGCGTTGATGCCGCTGGCCAAGCTGGGTGCACGAAGAACTATTTTTTTATTTGGCTCACCTGCATTGATTTTTTCATGGATAATTATCGGTTGTGCGAATTCTGTGCATATGATTTTTGTGGGACGATTTTTAGGTGAATAGTTAATTTCATTCATTCGAGTACGTACAGTATTTTTCCATGCTCATTTGTCTGACGTGAAAATTGCAGGTGGTGTAGGTACTGGAATCGTAATTGCATGTGCGCCTCTGTATGTCTTGGAAGTTGCATCAGTCAGCATTCGAGGACGGTTGGGAATCCTTCCACAGGTAATTATGTAATTGAATCAAATTGCTAATCAAGTCATGAATAGTCATAGACCATGTTCCTGCATTAATTGCTCTAATTAAATATTCTGTTAATTAATGATTATCCAAATCAAGAGATGAAGTAACAAATAATTGCAAATTCATGTTTCATAGTTTCTGATGATCTTGGGAATTTTGACATCCTACATTTTTGGGAGTTTCCTCAACTGGAGATATTTGTCCCTTGCTTGTGGTTTGATTTCTCTGCCGAGTGTGATCCTACTCATTTTTACTCCAGATTCGCCAAATTGGTTGGTGTCGAAATCTTGTGATGATAAGGCATTACGAGTACTACAGAATTTACATGGAACGAATAATGCAGCCCTGCTCCTACAAGACCTTCAAGATAAATTTGTCCAGAGGCTGTCACAATCTAACAAAATCGGTGGGGCTAGAAAATCTATGATTAATTCTGGCATGATAAAAGCATCGGCCGTCGCATTGGGGATAATCTCATTTCAACAGTTGACAGGTGGGTTTTAAAAAATTTTGGAGTTTTTAACCTGGCCCAGAGCTTATTTTGATCATCATGCGTCCAAGTCACGCTAGCTGATGAACCAGTGAAAAGGGTGACCCATACTGGTTTTAAAAATAAGAATAAACCAATTTTGGAAAGTTGTGTTTATTTTAATTTTTTTCTGCTTTTTCAAAATTTTGTGAAATTGAACTTTAATTTATTGGGTTTATGTAAATTATTACTAGGCATCAACGGAGTCACATTTTACGCCGTCACCATATTTCGAGAATCTTCAGGAAACGGCGAAATGGACGCTCATTTCCCCTCAATAATTTTAGCCTCTACTCAATTAATTGCTTCATTCATCTCGACCCTACTCGTGGAACGATACGGGAGGAAAATACTGCTGACCATTTCTTCCATCCTGATCACAATTGCTGGGGGTTGTCTGGGATCATTTTTCTATTTCTTTAGTACCTCATCGCCCGAATATCTGTGCTGGATACCTTTAGCTCTACTAATTTTATTCGCGTTTGGATTTGCAATCGGATTTGGTCCAGTCGCATGGATTTTAATTGCAGAAATTTTACCACAAGAAACCCGACACATAATGAACCCATTGATAATAGCGTATAATTGGTTTTGTGTTTTCCTCGTTACAAAATCATTTCCTTTACTCTTGCTTGAAATTAAGATTTACGGAATATTTTGGCTGTATGCAACAATTGCTTTTCTTGGACTACTTTTTGTCACAATTTTCGTTCCTGAAACTAAAGGGAAAACGTCTGAACAAATTAAAAATTGTTTTGAAAAACAATCATCAGTGATAAACAATAATAATGATCACTTTAACGAGCTTAAAGTAATTCTATCAAATGGTAATAATTAAATTATGGAATTAGTTAGTTGGTAAAAAATATACAGTGTTCTTACTTATTATAAAAATAGTTATTTATGCAAAAATAAATTTATCTTCAACCAGAAGTAGCAAAATTTACTTGTCCGTATCTTGTCCCGAGTCAATAAAAGAATCGAACCCAAGATCACTCGTCGCCGTTGCTGTCGTCGTCGGCGCTTTAAATGAACTGCTCAATTTATTGCTGCGTTTCGCCGATTTATCATTTCTTCTAAACGGATCTGGAACGTACCCATTAAAATCTAGATTCAAATCGAAATTTCCATCGTCGGAGAATTTCTTCTCATCGGACGGTTTCGACTGCGTGTCGTCGGATGAGAGTGGAAGTGCGTCAAGTAAAATTGGCGTTGCTAAATACGTGTCTTCACTTTGTTGTGGTCGTTTAGAGTTTCGAATGTAATTGGCAACGTCGTCGACGCCAAGAGAAGAGGCAGCAACGTTATTATTGTTATTATGATCTTTATTTTTGTGGTCGCGATTAGTGGATGCGACGGGAACGTAATTTGAGTATTCAGTGTTTGGATAAGGTCCCGAGTAGCCGTACTCTGTAATACATACAATAATGAGAAACCCACAAGTTTAGCTTTCTGATCTTTAGGTATAGGTTTTGATTGTGTTATGTTTTTTCATGCTGAAATCATCGACCGGAACTGGTATAAAAAGTTAAGGAGTGCATTTCTTATCTAATTTTGAGAATAATAATACAACAAAAAAATAGTTGAGACGATGCATGAAGTGCATCCTAAATTACTGCATTGGTTTTGTGGTCGATGAGACAATTCTTTGCCATGCTCAATAAGTAATGACAAATGACGATTTTGACCACCTACATAAATAGAACTAACACGTCACTTTGTCAATTGGAAACATTTTAGCCAGAATTAGAATTATTATTGTGGATGCTGCACTTTCTCCGTTTAGGTTTTAATATAGATAAAATATTCAAACCTTCTTGATTCTGGGGATCATTGTATTCAGCGTGTCCTGATTCATTTTCTCCACCAGGATAGCCATTATTATTGCCCTTTTTGTTACCGTAACTGGTCATCTCGTAGAAAGCGTGTTTGTACTTCATTCCTTTAAGGGCAGGCGATGATTCATAGCCTCCTAAAATTTCGGTAACAGACTCGTAATTAGAATTAAAATAGGCGTACATTAAAAATTGACTGATTGAAACTCGCCCCCTGTATCATGGCCGTATCCACCACCACCTTTGTGACCCCCACTATGACCGTATCCGCCGCCCTTATGACCTCCCCCTTCATGGCCGTAACCCCCACCCTTGTGGCCTCCCCCACCATGACCGTATCCCTTCATCTCGTACCCACCACCCTTATGACCTCCTCCTCCATGACCGTAACCCTTCATTTCGTAGCCACCCCCTTTATGACCTCCTTTTTCATGTCCGTACCCACCACCCTTGTGACCTCCTCCACCATGACCGTACCCCTTCATCTCATATCCACCCCCCTTTTCATGTCCGTAGCCTCCTCCTTTGTGGCCATGTCCACCTGACCAAGGTTCAAAATGATTGTAATTTTAAATTCACAGATATCACTGATAAGATGTAAATAATTCTCACCTCCGTGCCCTCCACCTTTGTGACCCTGTTGCCAGCCCCATCCCCAACCTTAGAAGAAAAACACCTTACTCATTATCACTACACAAAGGACAATATGAATGAAGCTTGCATGTCTCGTCCTTACCTTTGTGGGGCTGTTTTTTATAGTAGTGATGATACTCTGTCATTAAAAGCAAGGACGTTAAGCATTATAGTCACATGCATATTTAATCATAAGAGGAAGTCATAATAATAAAACTTAACAATTAAAACATTGCTACTAGGAAATTATTCACCTCAACGTAAGAACAATATAAAATTACATATATGGTAAATGTATGTATGTCATCAACCCTATCTACTGCATGTACTAAATGATGGCATTATACTATTTTTGGATATGAAGTTATTAAAATCATGCAAGATTAAATACATTCTAATTTGGTCGATGTCCGGCTTAAATTAATTTTCTCTCTAGCCTCCTCCTCTTCATAAAACAAAATATTTAATAATGCATTTTTAAATGAGATTGAGGTACCAGATTCCAAAAGCAATCTGTCTGAATGCATTTATTTGTTTCCTTTTCACACATCTGCCTCCTTGATTGATGGTACATGCCCACATTTCAAGTATTTTTGTATGCAACTGAAAGTGTGCATCCTCTCATAATGAGTAATAATAATAACTTTCTTTGATCACTTTAAGTGGGTGCTATACGTGTACAACGAAAGAATTAACGAGCACTGACCATTACACATTATTGTGCACAATTACTCAGCAATTAAATAAAATGTTTGTGAACCACAGCAATTTATCACAATTTACAATATTACGAAACAAGTCTTACCAACTTTCCGATGGCAAGAATTAACCGGCTTTAAAAATATTAGCAGAGTTACGATACTAATACCAGTGACTAGAGCCTGGAAATATGCAAAATTTTCACCAATTATGTAACCAATTTTTTTAATGCAGCTTAATTAGTTAGATAACTCACAATTACTCCAACAGGTGATGACGATAAACGTAATCGAATCATGTTGATTTCTTATTTCTTTTTCGAAAAAAAAACTCGCTGTCAGACTACGTTTTTTTTCGGAGTCACAAACGGATTCCGATTTTAAGAATGCGAAAACTAATAACAGACTAAATTCGAACCATCCACGCGATAAGTCTACTTCTTGATTTGATCACAATCGTTTCCACGTTTCACAGCGTCACCAATGAATAGCGTGCTCTGAATTCTTCGGAAATCCCAACTCCTTTTTTAGCGGTCGACATATTCATGAAGCATAAACTCCAAATTTATTGCAAATTCGTAGAACCGAAACCACTTATGTAAGCAGCACCACTTTAATTTAGTCAGCCGTGAACAATTATTTAATAAATAATTGACCGTTCGAAACTTGTAAAATCTACCTTAAAAAATATACGATTTGATTAATTAAAACCAACTTCTTGCTGTGAACAACCTGCGCCTTGCATGACTTTAAACTGTCGCAAGTCGCCTGTCTCCACAATAACTGATTTCGATTTTCCTTTTCATCACACCCTTTTATAGAATTGTTCCCTTCTTGGTTTAACTCAATGGTTTAAGTGAACAACAAGTGGCAGCATGTTAAGTTCCGCCGCATCACACGTCTCCTTGTGTGATGATAAACCAAGAGTTTTCTATTCAAGGGACCAAATCGAAGTGGTTTACGAGCTTACTGTTATACTGCTAATGGATTTTGGGAAGCCAATTTATCCACCAAATCAGATTACGTATTATTGTGCAAAATGATTCAACTTTTGCAGGATTTTCAATGTATACATAAAATTGCACGTGTGCATACATTTGTGCAATTTTAATGTCAGATTAAAAATGTGTTTCATCGATAATATCGGAATTCGCATCAAGGAAAATCTTGTTCCTAGTTGAACAAAAACAATCTGGGAATTTCACTTCCGAAATTAAATAAAAAAAGCGTAGCAGTTCAATTATGCAGTATTATGTGGTACACATAATACTGATAATGTTCGTTTCGTTTAACACTTGATTCTGCCAGGACAGGATGATGAGCCACAAATTAAGAATCTATGTCACAAATTTGAAACTAATCATCCATAAAATTTGATGGAAATAGGGTAGAAAATTAAAACATCATTCATGACTTAATTTTGTCCATCATTTAGTTTTTTTTCCTTTGCACCAACACAATTTCATACACGTTTATCCATTAGAGCTAAATTAATTTTGGTCTTTGGTGTCTGATTATGACATAAGATTACACAAATAAGTTGAAACCCTTCATTGGACACTTTGTCGTCATCATAAGAGAGAACAGAACAATTATCCTATTTCACAACTACTATGTAAATTTTACTAATTGTTATTAATAGCTCGATTCTTATATGCATGCATACATATTCCCATCATAATTAGTACATGCCACATCTGTCTTTGTCATCATTTATCACGAAACGCCAAAATGGTCCGCCGACCAAGCCAGCAACCTCAAAAACCTCCTCTCAATTATCCGATTACGCGACGATGTCAAGAAGAAAGCATTGTATTTTATCCAAGACTTTGTCATTCCAATGACAAGTTGGACATGGTCATTTCTTATCATTGTTATTGCTCACATAGATATTCCTTTAGACGTAACTCCAATCTCATCCATATTACAAACGCACAAACAATTAATACCGCATAATATCGTGTATATGATAAAATTTCAATCATTACGACTCCCTACCAACAAACCAACTTCGAAACGACCACTTTTCGAATCGGTATGTGAGCAATAGTTTCCGCTTTTACTTTCCTTTTCGCATCATTTTTTGTCGCTACTCACTCGATGCAGGAGTTATTTAATACGCTGTTGTTACTGTAATTGACAGAGTTAAAATTGGTTCGGTTGATGTCCTGAGGAACTGCATCAATTTTAATAATGAGTGCAGGCGATATACATAGATGTTACTTTTTTCTTTGTACATAGGTAAGTAGTGGCAGTTGGCAGCAGTAGGTAGCGAATAATAGGACTAAATACTACTCAAGTAGTAGTAATAAAGTGAATAATAAACTACTTGTTTTTGCTGAGACTTTGCAAGACGCTGCATGAAATGAATGAAGGGATGATGTGTTCCTATACTAATGCAGCTTTAATAAAGTGAGATACAAAAGATACAAAAAATAAAATGTACATTATCACGAACACTCCACACGAAAATTCACTACATGCTTACAAATACACATGTAGTACGAATATGTAAGTACGACATTTTTAGATGCAGCAATGCATCGCATGGCGCATTGTTAATGTGTCAAATGTAAATTACATGCTTGTTTGGTCATGCTGTCAACTGTTCTAAAATAATGTAATGAAATGTGACATTTACAATTTAAAAGATTTTATTGAGCGCATGAGGAAAACTTGATTTGACAAAAATAAAATCAGACTAGGTGCAAAAAGTATATAACCAATTTCTAAACTTTTAAATGAAATGTTCCGTTTTTCAATGAAAATTTTATATAAATTGAATATCGTTGATGAGCTCTTATTCTTCTTATCAGGGCAGCAGCAGGAACTCAATAATAAGCAGGAGACGTCAATAAATTTGTTTATTCACAAATAATAAGGAACAACATTATACATAAGTCACACTGTTTTCATGATGAACGATCATTCTTTTTGCGAACGAAAAGTAGAATTTTTCGTGTTGTCCACTAATTTGCTAAATCGTCAAAAGTATATAGTTCAATGTTGGAATGGAGCTTATTTTCAATTTGAAAATTCAAGGTGCATTTTGAAAAGTGAGAAATTGCATTTATGTACTTTTTATTACTGAGAAGAAGCCGAGTTGATGAATGATTATGCAGTTCTATATAAAACACAGAAAAAAATAAGAACATGTTTCTTTTCTTCATTCACGTGGTTGAGCATTAATAAAGTGATCTATTTATAAAATAAAGAGATCAGGTCACTGGGAGGAATGTCAAATTGTGACAAATTCAGATCATGAATGACGTTAAAAAATTGCAAACAGAGCAAGATCTTGTTGTGAAGAAAAAAGCGGTGAAAAAAACATTCCAGACAGATTTACAGCGCATTTATGTTCGCACATATGTGCATGCAAAGTAAATAAAATGAAACATTAAACGTCACAGTGCATTTAATTTTACAACTACGACACAAATTCAAAAACAGACAGGAAAGATTTGAACTTTAGTCTTAATTTTTAATTTAAAATAATTTAGCCAGCACTTTTTTGTAAAATGGTGGACGTTTCTTGCCCTTGCTGACAAATTTCTTTTGACAAAGTAACAAACGCACATTATATTTATGCTTATGCACTGACATTGAAGTAATTCAGGGGTAATGGACACTAAATTAATAGCTTAATGCCATCATCGTTAAGAAATCAATATTAAGTAATTGCATACTTATTTATTAATTTTCTTACACAAAGTTCAGTTTACATCATCGATCACGAACGATGTAAACTTGTTATCAGAAATATCAGGCGAGCATCATATATGAAACTACATAAATATCTAAATGAAAAACAAAGATATTGAATAAACAACAAGAATGAAATAATAAATAACTATGTTGGAATATCATCAATGGTGACGAAGATGAGCTCATCCTCCTTCATTTCCACAGAGCATCCGTAAATTCCAGTTTATTTAATGGTCATAAAATTAGAATTACACAGTTCTAAAATGAGTTTAATGGTTGGAATGTCCATCATCCGTGAGCAGTTAAAAAAATGAACTGCTTGCTGCTGCTGTGACTTGAGACCTCATGATGATCACTGCGTTAGAAGATCGCATCTTCTTAATTAGTAATGTCACCCCCACCGACATGACCACCATTACAATTCATTATTAATAATCCTGGAGAATTTTCTGGACTGTTTGCTTTGCCTTAAATATATTGTAATGTGAGAGGCTGATGAATATGACACGGTTGACATCCATAAAATCCAGCCATCCATTCCTTCCCTCATACGTCTTAGATTGACTCTAGCCCTGCTGTGAGATCATGATCACGACGGATGCAGCATACGCTCAGCAAGTCTTATTAAAGTGGGTGAAGTTTGCTTACATCGCTGCTCTTGATACTATAAACACTAATTAAATGCCGTCATTTCCATAAAACATGACCTGATAAGTTACGTTTACAGTAGTGCCGAACGTATACAAGCTCGCTAATAAAAAAAACCATCTGTGCAAAATGATATAAGTTCTGTCGGATCGTAGACTTGGATCATTCGCAAAAGTATTTTCGGACGGAACAAGTTGTGCAAATTTCAGTCGTTTCATTTCCCAACGCAAAGTTATACAATGAGGACGACAATTATTTTGTGTTTGGCTATCGCCGCTTTGGTAAGTCTAATTGCAAAGATAATTCTCATACACATTCCTGATTTACGAACCACTTCTTAACAATATTTTTTGAAATTCTTGATCTTTTTTTTGTAGACCATCCTTCTCGTCGACACAACTCAGGCACAAGACGAATCATCCGTTGACTGTGGGCAATGCGGGAGCCACTGTTACTTCGTACAGGGTCGAGCAGGTGAATGTGACGAGTACGGAAGATGCATCTGCGACTACTGTATTTTCAGAGGTATTTCCAAAATAATAACTTTTTAAACATAAGATTTGAAAATCACACTGATTATAAATGCTTCAAAATTTCATTCTATTGACAGCTTGCAAAAAAATGTGTCGGCGTTCGCAACCAGGCTCGGTAGCTCAATGCGACGACACGACTTGCAACTGTCTCAGCTAAGCTGCTGCTGCTGTTGACCACTCCCCCACCCGACCAATTTATCGTCACACGCCTCAACGAATTCCAACAGCAAGATGTCACAAGACGCATGGAATGTTCAAAGAAGTCACAAATTGAATGTGAGCAACTGAATGATCCAGATTACAATCTTTATATGAATGTTCAAAATTTATGTGTATTACATATTCGTTATCATGAATGTGGTCAGTTTTAAGGTTTATTTACACACCCACTCACTCACTATGTACATGTACAATTTAATAGACATGTGTAATAATAATACGATAATTTCTATCTACTCTATATATGTATCAAATTGTACGTTATGTAAATGTATTTATTCTACAAATCGTCTCAAATTTTAAGCCTAAATCGTTGTGAGTAAATGACAAGTTTTATTTGTAATTCATCTTTCCTTGAATGTTGGGTAATTATTTATTTTACGATTGGCTATAGCTCATCGTTCGTTCCATACAGTTAAAGACGTAGTTATTTGAAATTCTGAAAAGATTACTCAACATTTACATCGTAACATTTTCCATACATCATACGGAGCTGGGATTAGATGTGAAGATGACGAAAACACTTGGACGGAGGACATTTATTAATATCGTATTACTCATTACTAGCCATTTTTATCAATTATCAATGAATCTTTCCTCCATGCTTCGTCCCAGCACGTTTCTTGGAATACATAATTTTTGTGTAACCGAGCCACAAAGGTCCGACAGGGGTTATCATCGGTTTTGGCCGTTGACTGAGAATGAGTAATAAACGTGCCCTTGGCATTGTAAGGAAATTTTAGCAAAAATTCATGCAAAAATGATATGCATAAAGTTTACGAAATTGGATTAATTTTTAAGCATAAACGTATTTAAAAGGAGTCGCTACAAATAATGAATGAATTTTGAAAAATAGTCCATTTCGCAATTTCCGATTATTTAATTATATGTAGATCGTTTAAAATTATGTGTACACGTTTTTCTGCTTCCTTCCTACATTTTCGATGTATGTAACTTGTCATCAATCAAGGACTGGCAACTTTGTATGTGATCCAGATAATCCATAAGTCTACCAAATTTTTGAAGTTTGATGGGAAAATCACAGGTTTTAAGTTTGTTAGAAAACTCTCCTCGTAAGACTTTTAGACACCTTAGGACACACCCTGTCACTTTTCCATATTGATTTGTAGCCCTCGTAATACCTTAATTCCCAACTTTTGCACCTTGCGGCACAAAGGAACTTGTTTAAAATAATGGCTTCTGTTGCAAAAGATTTGCTCTGATTTCTTCAAAAAATACAATTAATTCACAAAAATACCCTAATTTAGTTTACACCAAAATTTTCTAATTCAATCAATCACTCGTTCATTTCCTGTTAAGAAAGTGTCTGAAAATGATTTTACATTACATATTCTCCTACACAATTTTGTCAATTTTTCACTAGGGCAAAAATTACGCTACGCAGAAATTTTATGATGAACAAGTTTGATAAGGTCTCGACTCGAGCCAGTTATGAGAACAAGGCAGACAGCTTTTTTTAAATGTAAAACCTGTAAAACTTACATCATTCCCGACCCGTGAGAACATTTTAGTCTCTGAAGAAGGAAATTATATATGCAAAGCCCTGGACAAAACCTGGCTGGCTTTATATTCAAATGACCCCATAATAATAGTTATTGCAGAAATTTCCTTATTGCATATTTAGGTTGTTACATTGCACCAGCTTAATTTATGATAAATCCGATGGATTCAATCCGATTGATAACTTACAGTGCAACATTTTTGGTAGGGACGGCACTAATTGGCGGTTCCATCCACTTTTTCCGATGTAATAGTGCAGACAGTTTAAAATATCCGAATGGATCAGTTCTCGGCTACTATTGCCCAGTCGTCAACGAGTCTGCTGCAGCCGCAATTATAGAAGAAATTGAAAAACAAGACAAATATTACGACGAAAAAGATGACGCCGTTCCTGACACGTTTCTTCGTTTAGGTACGTATTATATTTTCTTCACAAATTTCTGAAAATCCGTCAATAACGTTTTTTTCTAAGAACCTTTATCCAGGGACTTATCGTAATCAGTCATTAAGTAATGTTATCACACAACAATATTCTGCACTCCCAAAAAGCTGTCACTTTCAGTCATTATCTGTATACTTGATGAGTTATTGGTTACGTAAGCATTCCTCGAAATTGGGGAGGCTTGAGTAATAATAACAACGTGCGTGGGGTTTCATGTTCATTCGTTTGACAAGAGTCGTTGTACGTATGTTTGAGGATTTTCATGAGTTTTACATGCAGGGATTCTCATAACGAGAGATAATCTAAACATTTTGGCAAGTACGACTGGTTCATGGTTGGTGTACAACAATGCAATAACGTATGTGCCATTGTCGCATCTGCCCCAGCCACAAGTTCGTTGATTGCATATTGCAATTCCATTACCAGAAATATGCATGCATGATGATGAACCAGTAGGCAACACAATAAGAATGGCAGGTCAAGTAATAAAAGGGGAGATTGTGTAACAAAGAATGCTCATTTGCTTATTAGATATTTTAGTGTACAATCACTCCTATTCTTGGCTGCATGCTTTATTGTTTTCCACATTTGTGCAAAATCAACGAATAATATTACACCTTCACGCTCTTCCTGAATCTAAATATCTGGTATCATCCGTTTCGGTTTAATTAGTGTACAAAAAAATTGTGACAATGTTTTTTAGTTCAGTGAGCCTATTGTTATTTTGGTTATCCATAACTTCTGCCCGGTTTCGAGGAGGTAGGGACCGGGACCGGGCAGGGCTTACAACGTCAGCCCCTATTCTATTTCAATTAGGTATGCAAGTTCTCACAGTTTTGTACTTATTGTTATGTATTTCGCTAATTAATCGAGGTTTATCCCAAGGCTAACTGTGTTAGTAGTAATTGATACCAAGCAATGATACTTACAGGTAAACATGACGTGTATATGGATCAAATAACGCTATCTGGCTTTTCTTCTGGAGCGACGTTTGCTCAGCAAATGTTCATCTCACACTCGGCTTTGTTCACAGGAATAGCGTCATTTTCTCATGGTAAATCCAATGGCTTAATACGTATTAACACGTGTGTGAATTGTGCATTCAATTTGTATGCAGTATTTGTACATGTGTAATTATAAAGTGGTATAGTGATATCTACACGTCTCACGTAATAATATTTAGCATACTACCGATGTGGACCCGGAAACGGGAGGGAGGCAGATTATGACAATGCCTGCACAACAATTGGAACCAATCAAAGTTATAATCTTGACAATGCTCTTGACGATATTCGATCTTATGAGCAGAGGAGACTTATCGACAGCACGGGGAATTTGAGAAACAAAAAATTATATGTTTATGCAGGAGCTAGAAGCCAGATATTTAGTCTTGGTGAGACAACGATATCAGTTATTACACATTATTTACAACTTCGAGGTTCCAAATTGTATCTGATTTCAGATCAAAGCTTGGGTGCTGTAAGCATTTTTGAACCATTTATAAAGAGTTCAAAATATATTAAGACCGTCGTTCAAGATGCGACTCAATTGCTGGTATTATAATAATTCATTCTTGCATAATTTTAAATGGTAAACATTTTTCTCATATTTATTATTTTTTCAGCCCAGCGACAAATTTGGTGCACCTTGTACAATGTCCGCGGAACAGAATTTCTTTATTGGAAATTGTGGATTTTCTGGAGCTGCAGATTCGTTGAGTTTCCTTCTTGGAGACGCTATTCGACAACCAGGACGTAAGTCAACCAATTTTTACCTTGAAATTATTAGCCAAAAAATCAATCTAGCTCATTTACGACATTATTATTATCTTTTAGACAGTACAAGAGCAAGACATCAGCAACTCCTTACTTTCGACCAAACCGAATTCTTTTACGGCTACAATGGTCCAGAATACATGGATTCCAAAGGATTCATTTACGTGCCAAGACATTGTCACAGGCAGCGATGCTATTTGCATTTTTACTTCCATGGTTGTCTTTCTGGAAGGTGATTCATTCTGTGAATTCTGATTATATTGTGATCCTGCATGAGTTATTATGCATACTATTAAGCTAAATATTGTATGTGTCTATTTATCAGAGAGTTCAATGGGACTGATCACATAGTTAACTCTGGGTTCTTAGAAGTCGCCGAAGCAAATAATCTCATCGTTGTCTTTCCCCAAGCTTGGAGCAGCATGCCCGAAAACATGATTGGGTGTTGGGACACGTATGGATTGACATCAAGCTTATATGGTAACAGAAAAACAAGTGACATCATAAATTACTCTCTTGCCCTGAGAGAGGTGATTAGATAAGGTCATGTTTTTCCTTTCAGCCACGAGACAAGGTCCGCAGATCACCGTGATCAGAAATATGCTTTCAAGACTTTTAGGAATGGACAATGAAGTGCCTGATGTGCCTGATCACGCTGTCAAAATACGAGAACGAGAACCACTCGGAATTGAGTTTGAAATTGTTAAGGGACGAGAAGTATACTTGAGATAACATGAAAGAGCTTATCCTATATGATGTAAATTTTGTGTCATTAATTAATGTTTGCCAGTCAATTTAGTCTACAATAATACATTTTAGAGCTTGCATCAAATACACAAATGTAAAAATTAATAAATAAGAAAAGAAGTATTTTTCTGTCTTTGATTTCGTATCTCATTTGTATGAAGGAAGCCTTCCTTAATTTAAATATATAACATTCGATATTACATTAATTTGCAGAATTTAAAATAATATTTAAATTATGGAAAATACTACGTATAAATAGAGCTACAAAATTGTTAAAATTAATACATGGGACGACTAGTTTGTCACTTTGACCACTTCTGGTGGTTGTGTGGCCTCCTCAGGCTTTGACACTGGATCTACTTCAACAATTGTCATTGGTTTTAAGCCCAAAGTCCACAATATCGGTGTTAAGGATGGATCTCTCCCACGGAATTGTCTGAAAATTTTATTCGGATGATAGCCGCCTCCCATAGCAAAGAAACTCTCCCTGAACCTATGATATATATATAATTTAGGTAAAATTCTTCTGTATGAAAAGGAAATGAGTAGGATTGTATTTATATTTTTGCATTGCAAACATCCACCTTTGGCCGTGATTTCTCCATGCATCCCTTCCCTGTCCCTTTTCAACGAATTGTTGATACGCATCTGCAGCCAGCATTTGCGACCACAATTTACAGTAGTAAGCCGCAGCAAAGTCGCCACTGAAGATATCAACCATTGTGCATACGTGCGAGTCTCTTTTGTCAAGCTGTAACGGAGCATGGTAAACTGGCCATAGATTCTTCATAATATCCATCCAAAACTCTTTTCTGTAGTGAAAAAATACAGAATTAGAAGCTAGAGCTGAATTTGACAATATTTGCTGATTCAATTACTTTTTATAAAGATCAATGTCCAAAGCAGAAAGGTACAGTTCGTGACACAAGTCTGTAGCAGCCATGTGTTTCCTGGAACGTAAAACATTTTGAATGATATCATCCGAAAGTTTCGATCCGTTCTCATAATGACAGCTCATTTCTTTTACGACGGCTTTGTTGCCCAACCTGTTAAGCAAAACGTTAATTAATAATTATTAATGATAATTTAAATGAACAACATAAACCAATTCGCTTACCACATGGTCATAAACTTTTGTGCCACAAAAATTGCGTCCCATTCAATATTATTAGTTCCAGAAACTTCATGATATGGAACAGTCGTTAGCAAATGTTGTAAAACTTGGCCGAACTAGGAGCACAAAAAACACCAATGTTGTACATAGTCGCAAGTGTTGGTCAAAAAAAATAGTGCGTCAAAATACAACAAATTGATACCTTTCCGAAAAGAGCGTTCATATCGTCAAAGCTCAACAAGGAGGGTTTGCCGTACATTGGTGGGAGGAAATTGAAAACAAGAGTTGCCAAAGGACTCATCTCAGGAACTCCACATAACGTTTTATTTCCTAGCATCCATGAACCTTTGCTCAATTTCTGCTTAGGTCTGAAAGGTGAAAGTATGGACCCATCAGGATAATTATTTAATATTTATGAGCGTATATTAAACCTACCTGGAATAAGGGTCCAAGTAAAATCCTCCTAATTTTAGATTGCTTTTCTTATCAAATATTTCATAATATGCTACGTCCTCATTCCAAACTTGAATGTCTGCTCGTTTAGTTTGAATACTAAAGATATCCTCTGCAAAAGCACACAAGTTTTTCCAAACTTCAGGAAATGGAAAGAATTCACTAACAGCATCGTCGTCCACACTGAAGATCAGAAAAAAAGTAAAAGGTTATTTTAGTTGGAATATACATAATATTATTGTTGGTATTATTCAACAAGTACTTGAATAGAGCAGATCTTTGTCGTCGTCTCCAAAAGTCGAGATCCCACGGGCGTAAAATCCCTTCAAATCCTCTTGATCCAGCAAAACTTTTGAGTTCTTCAAATTCTTCGACTTGTTTTGGCTGGGCTGCGTATGTTTATTTTAGGCAATCAACACAAATTATTTCAAAGTTTGATTAAAATTTTTACATACCATGAGAAAATAATGTAGATATCATCGTTTGCACGTTATCTTCAGTGCCTGCCATCTTTGTCTGCATCGACAAATCGACATAGTTTTCAAATCCCAGTAGCTGAGCTTGTTCTTGTCTGTTTTAAGGTTCATGAATTGTAATTATGTCAAATTCGACAAATAAATTATATTTAACATTAGAACACACCTCTTTGAGCGAATTTCCTCAATGTGTATACTATTGTTTATACTTTTATCCGAATATCCTGATGCTCTTGTATTATACGCGTTCCATGCATTCCACCGGATCCCTGGTTCAGGACAATATTCCATAAACGCTTTATATGTTGGTGACGATAGTCTAACAATCCACGGGGCCTTGTTTGGTTGTGATCTACAAAATAGAATAGCATAATGAAATTGATATTCGTATAATAAAGTAGCATAATGCGTAATAAGGTGAATGGATGAGTGCTCACTTGTCTTTTGCTAAATGTTTCAGCAAGTGAGTCGGCATATCCCCAACATATTTGGGTTCTACAATCAAATGTTTAAACCCGTTCGTAGATTCATCGACATTGCGCCTGAATTTTGTTCTTTCTTCAGTGAGTTTTTGAAGTACTTGGCCCAAATGAACTGCAGCATTTCCAGTCAATTCAACTCCGGATAGACTGCCTTCCAGTAAAAACTTGTCCAACACTCTTTGCTGTGGCTCATTCAGCTTTTGAGAGTCGACTTTCATTTCCTAAAATCAGATGAACATAAAAATATAAATGTGTAATGATAATGATCGAAAATACAAAATAAATTATGTCTACCTTGCAAGCAAAATAAATTGGAAGACTGGTATATTTTTTGCTCCTGGCTTGTCTTGCTCTATCATGAATACGATTGTAACCTTCACTTGGGAAATAATCATTTTTAACAAGATTAAGTGTTTTTAACACTCCCCAAACGTAGTCGAATGTCGCAGAGGTTGTTTCTAAAGGTTCCAATACATTTTCATAAGTCCTCGGGTATTGTGCATCTAGAAATTTCATTTAAAATTCATCAGTTTCAATCTCAAATTCACTAACAAAACGTGATTTGTTACCTTTAAGCTTATCTTCAATAGTCCAAATACGAGACTCCATCTCTAACGCTAATTTACCCACAGCATTTACGTAATTATTTTTTGTCAGCGTTTCAAATTGAGGGTTTTTCTTCACATCAACCAAAGCATTTGTTTCTGGATCATCAGGAGGCATTTCCGGAAGTCTAGCAAATACAAAGACCAATCCAATTATTAAAAGGAGAAAACCACCACCAATTTCTTGTCTCTTACAAAACAATATATCCCGGTTTAGGTCCGGCTCCAATAATCGAACGATGTTGAAAGTTCGAATTCGAGCTAATAGCACTCACAGTATGTCGACGACTAATTTCGCCCCTACATCGTGTTAGTACTCGCGACATAATTGTTACCAGTTGATATCAACTAAATGATTTAAAACAGGTGACAGAAGACTTTACGACACAAGAACAATCACAAATCACAAACCCATAATTCCCAAAAGTGTGTGTACGAAATTTCTAAAACTATTTCACTATTTGTATGAAGTATTATTCAAAAATTAAAAATTTAACAGTTAAACAACATTTGAAGAATACTTATTTCATGTGCGAAGTTATTATTCCGGTTTTGCAAATCGCTCAAACTCACCGGCCTTTGCTTTGGCACGTGGGAAATGCGACACTCATCCTCAGCAGCAGGAATTGAGACAAACTTTCTCCAAAAAAGTTATTCGATGAATAACAGTCCTATTTTTAATGTTTCTCGTCTACTTTATTTAAAAATTTGTCAGCATACTTGATTTGATAGGGAAGCGTATAATCATGCTTTGACGATTTGATTTTTTCATTAATTGTAAAAGCTGATTGTCAATGACGTTTCATTTAATTTCATATGCAGCGATTAAACAAACTGTTGAATTATTCAAAGGTTTTGATTCTCGACTTGTTCGTACTTTCCAGTTCAGAAATTGTCAAATAGTAATTAATCCCTTGTTGAATGAAAACCTTGAATCAAGCTCAACTAAATAATGTGCAAATTCAGTGATGCACATCCAATATCAAATTAAAACTAAACAAAAACACAACACTTCAGTCTTTGAAATTTTCAAGGTTCAACAAGATTTAGGTTGAAATTGTTTTTACTTGAAATTAAGAAATCTCCGTTTTAGGAATGAATTTGAAATCCGTAGTAATTGATGCAGTAATGGAAGAGTAGCTCAAAAATAAGTTTCAACATCACATTACATATTGTCATTAGATTTATACTCCAAATCTCATTTATGTAATGGTAGGGTCAACATCTTAGAAATTATTTTAAATTCTGCTCAAATGAACGAGAGAATTGCTTTCACTTGTGAAGAAAAGCTGTAATTGAAAACATACGACATACTTAATGATGGTTATGTGCTGCTAGTTATGCAACTTTGTATGGCAGCAGCAGCAGCAGCAGTGGCAACGTTCCCAGAATATTACATGTTTTGCAAAGAGTGAAAGCAGGCAGGGAGAGGAGTTATTATTGGGGAGGAAAGAAAACGGAGACAGAGCGTGAAGAAGATTCACTTGGTTGATGGCAGGGAAAGTGTTTGTTTAATGTGCAGTAGAGACATTTTTTGTTGGAATTTAATCACTCTTTTTAACTAATGGCTCCAACGCACTAAAGTTGAGCTGTGGCAGCGTCTCCTTCCTTCTTCACAGGCCTTTTCTCAATTTGTTCTGGCTACAATTACTACATACGTGGGCTGAGCATGTAAAGGAAAAGAGTGAAGAATAAATGTGCGAACCTCACTGCAAAAGTAAGTGAAAGCCAAAGAGAGAAATTCTAATTTAATCTTATAAAAATTATGCACCAGCCAATGTCATGTGAAAATAAGCAATTTTTAGTGGACAAGATACTTTTACAGCGTTCGAGACTATTTTGCGACAGGAAGTAAGAAATAAGAAAATTGTATGTAAATATGTATGAATGTAGAGTCGTTGTGCTCGAAGGGCTTTGCATGTAGCAGTATCATTTAAGTTTTATGGTAATTTTGTCGACTTGACTAGTTGACTACTGTACATGGGATATTAGTGGAGATAAATGCGTTACAGTTGGAAATAAACGGGCAACCCTTTTTTCTTGCCTTGAATAGATTTTAGTCAGGGTCAGTTGAGTGATATTCTTGGTACCATTTTCATTTTGCGAAATGTTGTGCCATTTTCTAAAGTTAAAAGTCGAGTTGAAATCTCTATTCTACAATTAAGCAATACCAGAGATTTAGCAGACCAATGACCGAGAAATGCATGACTCAATCAAATTTAACTGAAACTTGATATAATATATTGGTAAAAAACTATTTCTAAAATTAACCGTCTCGAACGCCCACACATTTTTTTGATGATTTTTCTTTACAATTTCTTCCTAATTGTTTGCGCAAAGAAGGTACTCGAGAAAGACATTTTCGGCGTCTGACATTGCAAAATGTGTAGGCGGATGGATCCCGTTGTCGTTTATTTTAGACTATTTTCCGTTGAAAGTGATTATATCGGCACAATGCTTCTTCTTCCCACTGATGGATAAATAAATATAATGTAGTCGAAATAACATTCCTCAACTATCGACTCCCATCTAAGAATGGCTGCAAGCTAAAATATACATAACTTGATTTAGCAATCTGCCCTCTTGAAATGATAACCCTACTGAATAAAGTAATTTCTGATGTCACCTCTCAGATAAGATCACCACTGCAGGGGGTCATTTTCAGGATTAATATTCTTATTACAGCTTATGTAACGGGTTATCCAGCCCAAAGCGTGTATATGAAAAAGCTACATAAACACAATACTCCCACACTTCTAACACTAACACTAACACAACATCACCACCCCATTCTCTGAAAGATTTTAGCACAATCTTCTTGGAAAATGACAATCGTTTCGCTTGACTAGACCAAACCTAAACTGTGAGTTGAGTGACGTGAGTATGACAGTTAAGGCATAACAGGATCGCTTCTGCTCTAATTCCTTTAATTATCTGTGCGATTGTCACAGAAAATCTCAGTCCGCACATGTATCGTCTTCTTCTCGTGTCGCCTTTTGCATCCAGCAAACGTTGTAGAAAGCCAAATCCTGTTGAGCAAATGAATGCGTAATTACTGCGAGTATTTATCACTTTCTCTTTGTACAGATGTTACTTTCCCCTTCTAAACCAAAAGCGGCACATACAACAGCGCGCATATGCATGACAAAGATAAGGATGAGTAATTATTCTCGTTTGTTAGATTACTTGATTAATTGTTTAGAGCGAGTGAAGGAAATATAATGAGACGGAGAGGGAGAAAGTGTATCTCGTTCCTGATGAATATCTGTACATTTAAATGCTAACGAGAAGAAAAATTCCCTCGGTACACAGGATTTAGCAGCGAATACGTATGAAAAATATTATTAAATACGTATTTCCTACTGAAGAAAACTACTTCAAGTCTTTTAGCCCAAGTCAACTTACGTTTTCTGTCCCTCTAATATTTTTATACTTGGGAAAATAAGCTCACTCTGTAGTCGTAAAATGATGAACGATTGTCATTTTCCTGTCACAATTCCACTAAATACGAACAAGTTGTTGAAGACGTGGGCAAAGTAGTTGGAGAAAGTTGTGTCCCAATTCGATCGTTTGTAATCCACGTGGGTATTTGAGGCTTATCCTCTTTGCTTAAACATCTTCCTCTACATAAGGTAACGGGCCACACCACTAACCAACCGACCAACCACAACGAAGTTTTGCATGGTATATACGAGTGAACTGTACGACATTGCATTTACATTACACACATACTGCATTTTCTCACCCGTTGCTTGAACAACTTTGTACAAATTCACGTATATTTTCGAGTAGTAGTTTGTACGTACCTAGAGGAAAAAAACTTGAAAATGTCTTTGCTCAGTCGGTTGATTTGACGGGTGAAAAGCGTGAAAGTGGTGGGCGGCAGGGAAGCATTGAAGTAGGATTTGTTTGCCAAAGAAGAAGAGGTAGTATCTGTAGTGGTGGAAAATTACTACTGCACGAACAACTCTACTCTCACCTATTTTGGACACTACTTAACTTAACATATGCAAAAAACAAGTTGCATCTCTTCTCCACCGATGAGCAAACTTTGGATTTGCGTGCGGATTTTAACGTCTTAAGTCCTCAACCTCAAGTTTTGTGGGAGCTCATCGTCTGACGATGTGGAATTTGTAAATTGAGAAAGCTTAAAACAAGCACGACGACGGATGAGAAAGTTTCTTGGAGGGCGAGAGAGACGGGAATACAGTATGATCCCATTACAAAGACCTTCGTAACGTATCATCCCATTTCTTATCCCTTTGGGAGATATTTTATTGGTCGCAGTGCACGGACTGAATTATACATTTGTTAATGTAATCCGGAGGAGATTTGCTTAATGTAAACCTGTCTATAAAATTCCCCATATACTCAAAAAACTTTGGTTGTGGTGAGTTCTTCTGCGTAATATTGGGCTAGAAATTTACCCCAAGTACATGCCAAGTGAACGTGTCCAGTTTATGAAAATAATGGAACAAAGAGAATCAAATCTAAGGTCTGGGTCGTAGCAAGAAAGAAAAATCCGGAAGCTACGTATACATTTGCTGGCAAGGTTTAGGTTCTATTATTGACTTCAGTGTACGAATAATGCTCAGAAATTATATCTACTGTGGATCCTTTGTTTATCAGGGTGGCCATCCGGCATATATTTCGGTATATATGTGGACACATCTGAGATATCTTACAGCGAAGCGATGGCATTTGCAAAGCAAGTACGCATAAGGAGAGAAACTGGTATTTTCCGACCCAGTGACAAGATCGATTTAACAGGGATGGGAAACATATATATCAGAATTACGAATGGATTTGACACATCCAACGTTTTCAGTGAAAGCTGATTTATTAACAAAATCTGAAGAGAAATTGGCATTTGCTTCGTACAGTGGTGGCTGAATAGGATAATTCTGGGTTACAGTTGTGTCCGTCCATCCCTCATACTACTTTTATCACAGTAAAATGCACTAACTGCTGGTCGCGTAACGTGCATTAAATGGGATTATACGGAAGGTCCTCAGAGTAATCAGTGTAATCACGTGTGTCATTTGTCCAGTAATCTGATGCAAATTCTGCAATATGCAAACAACCTGGAACGGAAAATGTAGTGTAGGAGGACCACAGGGACAAACGGTTGGCTAAAAATGGTCTATATTTGCCATATGGTAATTACGATGTCAGAATTCGTTGCTCTCTCAAGGTCAGACTTACATCGTGATTAGATAAGTTAACGAAGAAAACTTTTTACATTTAGGTAGCCATCCAAAAATGTATGAAATGCGCTGTACATGTATTTTTTCAGTATTACTTTAGATTTTCTCCCAAAAATCATGCCCGACTATTTTATCAAGAAATGAAGTACGTCGAATGAGTCATAAAACACAAATTGCGGTAATAGAGCACGACATTCACGATACGATTGCGATTATACACACGAAAAAGAGAAAGTCTGCGGCGGCAGCGGATCTGATGTTATCTTTTCCCCATGCTGTTTATTCTTGCGCTAATACTTTCCGGTTCCTGCCAAACTCGCACGGTTTTCAATTCACTTAACGTTCAACGGACAGACATTGTTGCTTTTGTGGTTCTCTTGCACAATATCGGACCGTACTTTTGGTGTTGGATTGTATTTAATCCATATTATGGCTTGAATGAAACAGAAACTTATTAACAGACTGCATGGCGAGGTATGGCATAACTTTGTTTGATTTGTTAACAGTTTTATGACCTAGCTTCGTCCTCTTATGCATTGCAGCGACATTGCCTGATTTAGAAAAGTGAGCCAGAGTATTCAAACTATAATCAAATTTGTCCTACTAGTTATTACACTGCATTATTAGCACTCAGCTTACACCTAGAATGCTAAGTAAAAGCCATGTTCATCTGCATATGAACAAACAAAATAACTTCCAAATGGTGTTAAATAAAAAAGAACGCTGTGCTGCATTGCGAAACAAAATTATGTAGCCGAACAAAGTAAGTATGTACGTAGATAAGATTTTGAATTGTAAAAGTAGTTCGATTTTGACCAGTGCAAATTATGCTAGTTTCGTGATCGCAAAAATGTCAATTTACATCAAGTAGGACTTACATAAGTTAAAAATTGGCCCCACATGTAAATATCGGGTTAACAACCGATATCTACAAAACACGCGATAAACTGAACACAAAATATTTACTATTTTTCCTCTAAATCAAGCCCAAAATCAAGAACGGTTGCACCAGCCAAATAAATAAATAATTCAGTCCCTATCGCGAATTTCCATGTTGTTCAATATTTTATTACGACATTACTCGTAGACTTTGTCACATTCTGGGCAACTTTCTTCAACCTTTTGTTTTCTTTCGATATTTCTCAATACATATGCTTATTTTCTCCAACCATGTCAAACCCTAAGGCGAATTGTGCACAATTTGACCGCTCCACCAAACCAGATTGGAAAAATACTTGTAGATTCGGACATTACCAATTCAACATACATAGTAAAAGTTTCTTACAAAATCGGACATACATACATAAATAACTGTAACATGAATATAAATCTTGGAAAAGCAGAACCCACGCCCTCGCTTAATTACATAATTTTTCTTTTTTGGTGACTTGTCGGAAAAGGGAGGTGAATCTAAAAAAAATCTAAATCCGATCCTAACTCCCACAATGCCAGAGTATCCAACGAGTAAATACACAACTCGTCGTCTCATCTCAGCGCTAGTCAAAGAACGAAAATGCATCGGATTTTTCCCATGTTCATCTACAGGGTCAGAGAGGCTTTAAGTCTTAAAGCTTATGGAAAGATCACAGCCCCGAATTCACTTTGGCTTTGGTTTTAGCTAACACCACTGTGTTCCACGTTTTGGCTCTTGGTTTGGGTCTACTTTTTACTCGAATAACTGTGCAAGTTGAACCGAGTTGGAGAGGCAGTACAGTTTTGCAACTCGGCGTCTCAACAAGAGAGCTTGCAGGGTTGGTGGCTTGGTTCTCTCGGTTTATTGGGGTGCAAAACTAGCAAATCGGTGAAACAGAGGTGTACATATACACGGGTAAAATTGAGACGATTCGTTACATACGATTGTACCAGAAATTAAGAATTTTTGGAAATTTTCACAATGCAGTTTTACAACAAAACCAGTCAGGCAGTCATGCCAGTAAATACGAGATTGAAAAAATTGCAAGAAAATTGCCCCTCGTGGTAGATAGCGTGCTGTTTCAAGTGTCTCAATATTTTGACTGGGTGAAATTTGGGGACGTGATTTTATCAAGAATTCCCTCGCCGTGATTGACTTTTACATAAAACTGCCAAGAGGAGGAGGAGGACTCATTCATTCATTGGGAAGCTCATCATCAACAGTTTATCCACTATCACGAGGATCTTGAGCAAATAAACATTTTAAACGTAAACTCACAATGTGGGGCTAGATAACTTTTTGGTCGCCAGGATAAAGTCTTTGGTTCCGTAAAAAAACGATCGTGTTTGATTTAAGCAATTTAACTGGATCATTCGTTATATAATATTTTAGAATAAAATGGAAACAATTGGAGAAAGCTGACCACAAAAATGTGGTGTATAGTACGTATTAGTTTAGTTTGCATATAAATAAGTATCAATCTCTTTGTCAACAAAATCGTTAAGAAAATCCTTGTGATAAAAATGACTTTACAGTTTTTTACCATCTCCACCATTATTATTTTTGGACTTAACTCATTCTAATTTCCACACCAGAGTTACTTGCATAAGAAGACTTAATTCTCTACAACTTAATTCACGAATTTCTCTTGTTTGATTTGATGAGGAATGGAAAAACTGTGAAAATGCCTGTGATTACGGCTCTCTTGGGCGTTATTTTGACTTCATTAGTTTTTATCACTATAATTGGAAACATTCTCGTCTGTTTGAGCGTCGTGCTTGTGAGAAAATTAAGGAAGCCACAGAATTATTTGCTCGTGTCACTCGCAGTCTCAGATTTATTCGTGTCTCTTTTCGTGATGCCATTTGCAATTGTGTTTGAACTTAATGATGCCAGTTGGCCCCTCAGTGATGGAGTATGTGACCTTTGGGTGTCAGGTAATTATCCTTGCTTTACAACTTTTGTCATTTGTTCACGTTACTTTTATTCTTGAGACTTTGTGTGGGTGACATTTGTTTCGCATCCATGCACCAACTTTTGATCAAGGAAAGGAATATTTTAACCATTAAGATAATGGGACAACATGCCACATATTTGGATAATTTTATTTATTTGTTCTTTCTCGCCACAAAAAGACATGGATCAACAATGTCCTAGTTTATGTATGAAAGTACTACAAATATTGTTGCGAATATCATCAATGAACACGTACAAAAAATAGCTCTGAATTTGTTTTGGTCGTGGGTTTTACTCGTCCCCACATATGTACAGACATATATTTAATGGGCATCGATCCCGATCTATTTATGTCTATTTATGTCGAGACCAGCGACTCTTTGAAATGTTTCAATGTTTATTTTGAAACGGAATACCAAAGAAATCGATAGTTCTTCAAAACATGAGGCGTTATCATTGCACACAACACCTTAACTTTTTATTGTTATGCTACTGCATACATACATAGTAATGCTAAATGAAAGGTCTTTGCATAAAAATATAGACCGACGCGGCGGACAAAGAAAGTGCTCCAGTGTTATTTTTTGTATGTATGTGCCATATTCCAATTCTCATAATGCTTCCGGACCTCCTAACCAATTACTATTGCCGAAAGGTAGCATAAAGTAATGGGGGAGGGGGGAGAATTGCATCAATTTTGCCGTTTCAATTGGTATTGATTTCATGCCAAGTGTACATGCAGAGTGAGGAAATAGTTCCCAAGAAATTAGAAAATTGCACCCTTTAAGAGAACACAATGCAGAATAAGTCTAATGAAAGAAGGCCATTTGGCTAGAAATTAATTTAGCTGGTTATGTAGCCCGAATTTTGATGGATGACATCTGTGAAATTGCTTTATAGTGTTGCAATAGTCATTTACGCTCAATTCCCAAAGTGCAATCCTACCCAGTATCAATAAAAGAGAGAATTTAACGCAGAGTCCCTCGTGTCCTATCTGTGTGTTGATTTCCAACATCATTGTGACGACGAAAAAGGGCATGAATTGGTTCACTCTAAAAGTGAAAAGTGGATAGTGCGTCCTTAAATCAGCAATACTTACGTCCACCCGGGAATTACAATACAAATTGGAAGTTTTATGTAGTCATCATCGTATATGTATGCATGGCGAGTAGCTTTTTCTGATAATTAAATTATGCATGCACACATCTCTTCTCTCAGAGGCTCGTCGTCTTGCCTGCCTGCCTGCCATCCATCTGGTCGGCTTAATACGTAATAATGACGGGAAGAGAAGATATACTTTCTCCATTATTTAATATGGCAGTGGAAAAAGAAGGGTCTAGAACGGCCTGACTTTGATAATCCACTTTTTCTATTTTCTCCATCATTATTAGATTTCTTTGTCAAAAATAGACACGATTTAATAACTAGTTTGGCTAGCTCTCTTTTCTTGAAGGGGACCGACAGCGAGTAGCTTTTTACATAGGTAAACTGCTTATTATTACTCCCCTCTTTTTTACAAGTAGAGATGAAAGATTATTCGGGAAGGCAGGTATCCCTTACCTTTTGGCCTTTGTTATCTGCATTATCTGGTTAATTATTGTTATAAGATGTGACAAGACTGAGGTCGGTGTACATGCATGCATTGTTACGTCTCATAAAAAACAAGGCCCGCAAACTTATTCGCTTGCTTGGTTGCAACAGCTAACGTATGCATTATTTATTTATTTGGGGTGGCTACGTATATACACGCTCTTTTTGTAGTAGTCGCTTTTGGTGGAAATCTAGCAAAAAGAAAATGCCCTACTTCACATGCCACTCGGTTGTCATGATGAGAGAGAAAGCAAAAACTGTCTTCTTCCGCCTACTCCGTGGTTAAGTGAGGACTGGGTCGTGCGGGGTTGTGAAAGTTTGGTTTGTGTGTGAACCTAGCAGCATACTCTTCCTCGGATTAAGTGCCTTACACACCCGTCCCTCGTACGTAGGAGGAGGAAGAAGGGAAGCGATTTCATTCATAATTAATTATCAAAAGGAGACGCTCAGTGCGAAGGTGGTGGTGGCAGTCAAATTATGGGTAATGATGATTGACATTAATTGAATCTGGAAATTTCCGCAGATTAGACACCTTTCACACTTTTGTACATTACCGCGTGGTAAGAAGAATCCCATTATTTAGATTGTTTCGACCCCGCTTTCTCTTTTTTAAGAGCGAAATTGAAATCCTGTTTAATTTATGACAAAAATAAACGGATTTTTTTCTCTCGCAGAATTTGCAATTTCTTTCTTTTCCTGAAGAAAGTTTCGATTCTGCATATATTTACATGTATGGAGGATCGATAGTAATTTGAATTTATATTTAGTAATCGATGATGAAAGGAGTGCTTGCACTTTACAAACTTTACTAGAAAATTGAAAGTTATTGTGTGTTATTATTATAAGAAGGAAGAATGCTCAACTTTCACTTCCAAGACCCATTCGTCATCTAGTCAAAGCCACTTTTCTCCCGCTCCCCCGTGGTAACAGGGAAGGACACATTCATTTAAATTCATATACGACTGAATAATAATGGAGTAAAAGTTGCCCTGCTTTCTCTCCGCGGGGTGAAGAACAATAAGAATTTGATTCACTTATAAAGCATTAAAAGCATGCATGCGAGGGAGACAGAAAGAGCGAGAGGAAATCTCTTGAGGCGAGTTGACTTCCTCCACTTCCGTTCGATGCGGCTGTCTCCATGTTTTATGGCACGATCCATAATGAACTTCCTCACCATTGTTTTATTCAATTATTATTAATTTGTTTTTACTAATGCATCCTTTATTTCAAACTGTTGGCCTGTTACCAACTTGGTGTGGACGGATTTTAAGCCAGATAATCAATAGAATTAACCTTGGGAATTGTTTTCTTGGCATTTAGAAAAATTTAGGGTAAATGAGACATTGTAAAAATCATTAAGTAATGATTTTTAAATAAAATTATACATAAATCCAAGTACTTTGATTTCTGTATAACTTTATTGGGATTTAAGGTACCACAAGAAGTTTTTGGTACCTCTTTTTCTGGTGTCTTAATTTCATAAAACTTTCCATGTTGTCTTGTCCATTTTAATTATTTACTCCTCGACATTGTATTAAATGAGATGTTTTAATCCAAGTCAAAGATTCGGAAAACACTTGCATTTTACACTTGCAGTAATTGCTACTTGCGTAATACAAGAACCGGTCCCTGTCAAAACTGATTCACCTGCAGTTTCCATTACGCAAAAGTAGAATCTAGACAGCCCTACATACGTATTTTACCTGCTCCAAATTCCCACTTGCAGGAAGCAACAATTTCACAAAATGATAATACCATCTCTCGAATTGAATTCATGAATAATTTAATAGCATTTTACCCTCCGTTAGATTTCTTTATGATGACGCAGTAGTAGGAGCACAAGCCATGCAGCCACAAAGGCCTCATCTGACTAAACTTGTATTCATGTAGGAAACCGTTTAATGGAAAGAAAGGTTAAAAGTAGTTTGAAAAATTGAAGTGATCCTTTTCACTTCCTATGCAAATCAGTACACAAGAGTCTTAAAAAAGCATCAAAATCAACATAAAATCCGACATCATTCCCTTTCCGTCTTCATGATTTGGTTCAGCCCAATCCTTTCAATCTTGTATTTCCCATTCTTCACGTCATGCCACGTCATGTCTTTCACCCAGCAAGCCAGAGATCATTGATATCCGGCTGCATAAGAACGATGCGGAGGAGGAGGAGGAGGCGAGTGATTGTGAAATGGTACATGGACAAATCTTCATTCAACATTCAATTCAACTCAACAATTCACATTTACAATTGGAAGAAGAAATTCCTATTTCTTGAATCCCTCTGCCTTTTCGCCACACCACGAAAGCTGGAGAAAGTGGATGGAGTACAGAGTCCAAATCCAAACAACCCCATTTTGTTGTTATCCTTTCTCTATAAATCTGCGAGGGTCTCAAGGGACCCTGGAGGAAGAATGCTAGAGCTCTTTTCTCTCCCTCGCCGCCACACACACAGGAGGCAACATTTTCTTTAGTCCGTGCTTTCCTAAGCAGGTTGCACAACCAACCAAGAAAGAAGCCACGTTTGTGATATGGTTCCGCACTCAACAACATGAAACCGTTCTTCGGGTCACACATCCTGATTTTGACTTGGATGACTTGGTGAAAGTGAAACCAACAGGGCTCGATGACTGGCTTGGTTGGTGCGCAATTCCAGTTTCCTGAGTCAGACAAAGCTTGATTGAGAATGGATCCATACATATGTGCATACATGGCAGGGTTCATGGAAGAACTGTGTAGCACTGAATTCATGATACGGTTGATTCATCGAATATTTGATGATATCACATAAAAAATATCATTTCGGGGAAGGTAAGAGCGAAAATTTTACTTCTGATCTGTACGACAGTCGTGAACATGAAAATGGAAAAAGCGTGTAAGCAAAATATCCTAAAAAAGAAGCACAAATGTCCTAAAAAAGAAACAAAAACGTTGTTTACTGTTTTGCTTGTCAATTTCCGAAGATTTTACTACGAGGCTTAAAGTGGAGAGTGAATAATTCACTCTGACGGTGTTGGTGTCTCAGTTCCTATTATCTGCTCAGTACGCATTTATTGAAACAAATCAGTTGATCTGATCCCCAAGCGGATCGAATCTTTATTATCTTCCCGGAGACCAAGAAAGGCATCGGCACAAAAACAAAATAGATTGTTGTTATCCCCGAAAGAGACGATACAAAAGTGTTACTTTGTTGCAGTTTACCCTCCCATTTTCTCTGTTAAATCTACACTTATAAATATTTAGAACCGTGCTATTAGTCGAACAGGAAGAGTTATGAAAAGTGTTAATCAGGCAAAATCTCTTTTTTCCTTGAGAAGAATTTCCTCCCGTGACAAAAGAAAGGTGTCGTTTATTTATAGGTTCAACTTGCTCTCGGACATTACGCGATTTATTTATCAAACAGACGGCGGAAGGGAAGAAAAGAAGGTTTTACAATGAATTCGTTCCCTCCTATGATGCAAATTTACAAGAAACCAGAAAAACTCACGACCCAGCCCACACCACGATAACTTCTTCGTCTGCTGAGTAATAATACAAAGGAGCGGCGGGAACCTTTTGATATGGAAATCGGGTGTCTCTTTAATTGCATCTCGTTTCCATCTCAAATCCGAACTTCACTTTCTCTCAGGAAAAGCAAAACAGATTCAACAAAGACTTCTTCTTTCCCTTCTTGCACTTCCAAGCAGCATGAAGTTTTATTATTTTGTGCTCCACTAGTTCCACTCGAATCAGCACCTCGACTCGATATACCTCGAGATACTCTTCTCCTTTCGGTTTCGCTTTTGTCATATCGAGAGGAAAGTGTGATGGGCTCAAGTGTGAGAAGAAATCTAAGAATGAAAACTTTGCGTGTTTCTGAGACATGAGAAAAACATTGAAACTTTTATCATTATAATAATGCAGCTAACACCACCACCAGGCCTCCAGATGAAATCCTTATAATGCGATGTTGCATATTTAACCGTTGTAAAAACTATGTGCTAAAAATTTCGTCACCGTTAAACTCTTTCCAGCAAAAGTTTCTAAGTGAAATGGAAAAAAATGCAACATTCATAAGGTCGGACGTAAATTTAAGAAGGGGGCAAAAAAACGGCTTCTCTCTCTCGTTTCTTATTACATACTCGTAAGTGTTGGACAAGTCATTTACAGAGGGAGAAAGCTTGATATTTCATTCTTGTAATAATAATAATATTGTGTTTCTCCACGTCATGAAGCACTCAGTGGTCCTTTCCTACACACAAACCCCTGATACCCTCCTCCAACAATGGGAATACTCAAAATTACACTTGTGCATCGGAACGATGTAGCAATAATTTATTTGCCCACTGTGACCATATTTATACTAAAAATATATAATAGAACTGTGGCGCAAAATAAACTCTTTACTATCACTTAAACACTACTCCTCTCGCAATAAAGGGTGATTCTTTTCTATTTTCTGCAATACATACGTTACATTCCTTTGGGGGAGTATCATTCTGCTGCCGTTGCTGCAATCCTATTTCGGTTCAGCAAGTATTAAATATTGACGCAATTTACTCTGGTTGTGAAAGAAAAGTAAATAATGATTTATTTGTGGCATTCATTCAGAATGACGACGACTTGTTGGATGGAAATAATCGATGTCCTGAGACTGTGTTCATGTGTGTGTTTGACTCTTGATTGGTTCACTTGAGTTGTTGGTTACTTAATTCAATGTGCACACTTGAACCAACAGCCAGCAATACTTGGTTGACTTCCACCCAAGCCGAGCAAGCCTTAATTGCACGGCAAGCTTGCCCGTGTCACCTAAGAGGGTGGAGAAAGTTTGTTTACTTTCATGGTTGTAATGAGCATACTTTTTCCACTTGGTGCCAGCAGTCGTTCGTACGTACGGAGTGGGCAACGACTTATTACAGTAATTAATAAAGGGTGCCATGATTTTCTTCGTACGGCCGACCAACCACTTGAATTTTTTACAGGAAACAACATCTCCTAATTGCAATACGGCTTGTTTTCTCTTTTATGCTCTATGTACCAGAGAATTTCGTACTTTTATGTAGATTTTCTTCGTCACGAAGTTATTATTATTCTCCTTGCTCGACGACCAGTTGGGCATGGTAGTTGAGGAGAAAGTAATTCCTTCCGTTCGGTACGACAACAACATATTTTTCATTAATTTTATGAAATATATTGCCGTATTTAACTTGTCAGTTAGCAGTAAAATAAAGCCTGTGAAATTTATCAGAAGGAATGGTTTTCATTCCAATGTTATACTTACTCTCAGATTTGTAAGAAGTTACACTTTGACTTGAACTTTCTCCAAAACATGCCTATAAAAATCCAAGCAATTCAATTTAGCGAAATGCCAAGAAACAATTCCAACAATTTCTGTGCAGAGTTGAAACATTTTATTGTACTTTTTTCCATCTATGTGTACATACGTAAAAAAAATCTTGCCTGATCTTTGTCAAGGTCATCAACCATCAAACATCCAACTTCATCATAAAATTCCTCGGCCCTTGTTTAGAAGGCGCTAACTAACATGCAAACAAAGATCATTCTAATTACCACTGCTTAACACCTCGACATGACCGTTCTGAATATATTTATTTCCTTTAAAATTAGTGATCTATATGTGGATAGAATATCTACACATACTGTATTTAAATACATGTTATAGTTCGTCTGCACTCCGTCCGTTTTGCATAATATTGCCCGCTGGACTTTCCCAATACCGAGAATATGCCACCCAAAAATGAGTTTATAATCCGTTTTTGATTGCCAAAAGCATTATTTTCTCCTAAAATATGACCGACTTTGTGTAACCGCTGTATGTTTTTTCTCTTTCCCTCAACAGCCGACGTCTTATCCTGCACGGCATCAATATTGAATTTATGTGCCATAAGTGTGGACCGATATCAGGCGATAACACGTCCTCTGGAGTACTCTGGCTCCTCATCCCCACGGCGGATGTTGGGAGTGATTGGAGGGGTCTGGCTTTCCGCCGCTTGTGTCTCCCTCCCTCCCGTCCTACTACTTGGCAATGAACACGAAAACCACAATTGTATCGTCTCTCAAAAATTTTGGTAAGTTGCCAGTCGCATCAATATCGTGGCTTACACTTACACAGATTATATTGTACGTACGTGTGTGTGTGTACTCGAAGAAACCCAACCGTCCGATACCGAGATAACCATCGAGGTTTCATACATATATTGCCGAGGTTGAATGTCATGTCACAAGAAGCGTGACATGTTAGCCTCGTCGTCATCCTTACATAATTTTAGTGTAACGTTCAAATATTAAACTTCATCCTCACGATAATCGTCTCTACTACAACCTCACTCCCATTCGTTTGGGGTTGTGAATGATAAAATATTTTTGGCTCTCAAAATTTATTGCCCATCATCCACAATACTTATGAATAGTACATCGTCAGTTTTTGGTATGGGCACAATTTCGAAATTAATTAGGCATGCCGGATTGCTACATAAATGATTGAAACTCAAGACACGCCCGAATTCCTTCATAAGTGTTGTGTACATATCGCATGGCGCAATCTCGGAAATGTTTACTAATTTTAGCTTATCTGAGGAAAGTGATAAATTCTTGTTTAAAGGCACTTAGCGGAACATTAATGGATTTCAAGCGGATGTTAACCGTATGTACGTATGGAATTTATTATGACAATTCAATCGAGATTTCTTTCGCAAGTAGGAAGGATTAAATATGTATGTATATCGGTGCTATTTTGTCCTCATAAATTTTCCTCGCCTGCTCGTTATGCGTGTAAAGAGAGAATTTGAGAAATAATAAGGACTCGTTAGAAGTAAATGTTATGCTTGGTCCGTCCATCGTTCGTTCGTTATTCGCAAACGTTATTGGCACATTCAAATGTGAATGCACATCTCCATACGTATTTTCTGACTATCTACACCACGGCTGCTTTTCTTTTCCTTAGTTATAATAATAAGCGTTATTTTTATTCCGAATCATCACAGAGCAAATGAATGTTAGCGTAATGTGTGAACAAGTTTATTTATGAATGCATGCATGTGAAGCCTCGTGTGTAGTGTAAGCAAAACAACACACTGCATACAAACATCTAACGGAATGGGGCTTTAGAGCACCCAGTGTGTTCTGAAGCTTTTAGTGTTTTTGCATTTCGACTCGTGGACGGATAGACGGCTCCTTCTAGTCGTAGGAGATGTTAATCATCACAAGTCATAATAATGAGTTCTCCATTCCTACAAGACCCCGCCTGGCATTTATTTAATGGATGATGGGAATTTGGCCATGATTTCATTCCATCTCGTCCCAGTAGGTAACGATGAGACAGACAGATGAAAAAAATCCGTATATTATGTTGTTGATTAAGTGCATGCGGCCCTACCTACGAGCAATTACTCACATTGTCAGCCATGTCAAAGCGATGAACCACCTGCTACGAAGGTGTCGGTATAGATTTTAAATTGTAGCGCAAGACCACCAGCCCACACACAACTTTGTACGTTCACCTTGTACCTTGGTGTCATCTTCGCAGCGTCTCCTTGACGAATTCCAAGCTGCTGCTAGCAAACTTGTAGAAATGGAGCGAAGCTTCGTCCTCCTTGTGATGATTAAAATTAGCATTTTCCTCTTCTTCATAACTTTATTAAATCTGCGCAGAGGAGAGAAAGGAGAACAGGCTTCTGGCCATTTTGATACTAAATATTGCATTAAATAACAATTTACTCGTAAAGAAGGATTTACTCAGACTTTCGCGAAATAAGATGGAGAGAGCAAAGCATTATCTCAATCTCGAGGGAAAAAGAGAATGAAATCTCCTTTGCGGTTTTTCGGGTACTCTTCGTTACGCGTACTATTATTAGCACGACTGCCAAATAATGTAATGCATAACAAGTATGATTTCTGGCAAGTTACACACAAAAATTACTCCCATGGACTGTGTTATGGATGTTGCACGAATTATTTATTAGATTGGATGCTTTGCTTTCTCCACGAGTCATAAATATGTTGGATTAATAACCTAATTAACGTTTGGTTCTGTTTCAAAAATTAGCGTGGAGACAGATAATAATGACTTTTATGGTCAAGGATACATAGCTTTGAATAATGATCTCAAAACTTTGTGCAAGTTGAATTCTCACCTCGTACACAAGCCCGAGTTATACACAAGTAGCCATGATTTATAACATTATGCTCCCCATTATGCTCCCACTTTATCTCGACAATGCAATAATGCGCGATAAATAATGCATGCTCTAAATTGTGAGTAGGCCAGCAACAGCCCATAATAGAATGGCCCAGTCTCAGGTTAAGGAGGCGGAATAATAATGTATGCATACATACCTCTTGTGTAGGTAGCAGGAACCCCAGATTAGATTAGACTTGGACTAAAACCAACTAAACTGCTAAAACAATGAAGGCGGAAGTTGCAAAGGGCAAAGTACTCCTTCTGTTAGTCCGTTAGTGAGGGTGAACATTGTCCTAAATTAGAATAAATTAGATAGAAGACTGTCTCTGAGGCGGCCTGGACGTCAGAAGAAGAGAAAGCCCGCCTCTCACTCATGATGAAGGAACAACAAGTGGAGTGTGTTAAATTAAAATATGCAAAACAAAGTGCCGCCAGAATGAACGTCGTCCTCTCTCCTTTGGGGTCGACTCCGTTAGTTAGAAGTTAAGTTAGGTTAACAGTGAGCAGAGTTATCTACATGATCTCTCGTCCAGCTTTCTCTCTCTCTTCGTCTGGAGAATTTTCTCACTGGAGGAAATTCAGCTAGTCTATCACGGGAAGTAGGAAGAAGGGCATAGTTAATGTTGATCTCAACTCCAGATGAGGAGGCTAATGCCCTTGATTCCGTTGTACAATTCATCCCGTCGTCCCATCTGAGTCTCTCTCCGCTTTCACTTAACTTGACAAAAGTCATTGTCCACCAGCAGACAGTAACGCACCAAAGAGTTCCATCAGTTACCCTGACAAGGAGAGTAATTCAAGATGCGTTTCATATTTAAGTACCATCCTGCCAGTGATTAATTAATTCTAGTAACCTGCTCAACATATGGGGAAACATGTCATAAATTATACGCACCATTCTGAAGTTTGTTTTTCACATGTTTTATGTATTATTCAGCTGGAAACTAGAAGATGAGAGTTGAGCTACTTCAAAGCGAACGAAGCTTTATTTGTGGAAAGCACTTTGCTTTCTTTCCTGTTAGACGGGTGTGTAAGTGGGATGATAAAAATTACAAACGGAAATGGAAATCAAGTCCGTACAGCACAATCTCGTATCACGTTCGCTTCAGGGATAAATATTTTAAATGGAACCCATCACATGCATACTCGTATAGGTCCAAGGCCAACATTTTCCTACGGTTGACATGTTGACATCCCATCATCTAACTGTTGCTGGTCTCAAATTTCATTAAATTTTAAACAATTCACTCTAGAAAAATTGCTTTTTCCAGAGTGGTGGCGTGGCGTGTTGCATTATGAGAAAAAGGGGTTCAATCATTCCTCAAAACCCTTTAGTGTCCCAAAATTTTCTCGTCCTTAAAGCAAAGTCAGGGGAATTTACGGTTTCTGTGAGTTTACCGTTTTATTTATTTATTATTTACTCGCCCCCACCAACCACTTTCTTCTTCTTGCAGGGGGAGAAAAGAAGAGTGAAATTTCTTCTTTTCACGGGATAGGGCTTCAATGAAATGTTTTTCGCAAGAGTGCATGAACAATGCATGATTTCTCTCGGGTTGTGTGTGCACAACGATCATGGTATCCTATAGTGATCTGTATTCGCTGGTGTGTGCATAGGCAGATAGATAGACACACTTTTTCTGCATGCTTTTACCCTCTCTTTCACCATTCTTTCTTTCCTCCGTCCGTCCATTCGTCTATCGGTCAGTTTTGCTTGTGCTCCTCGTTCGTGTTCCATCACCATTAAGGTTCAGGTTGGGGATTGGACTATTACGCGTAGAATATCGGACAAGTGGTGGTGGTGGTGAATGAATGGAATGAAAATAAATCTTTTCCTTGACGTCCCCAGATAATACGTTGGGAAAATACAACAAAACTCCATCTTAAGCATCAACACACTTGTGTATGTAGTCGGTCGGAGGAGAAAATGCATGTGGCCGTGTGTTATTTTATCATATGTGCCCAAATTCCATTATTACTTAATATATATATGTATGTACATAAGTTGGTACGTATAGTGGATGGACGGCGAGACGAACAGGCGTCTATTAATACACGCCGAAACAGTTGTGAATAGAGAGACGAGAACACGAGATAATGCGAAATTCTTTCACAGTTCACTTGAGACATTCAAGCCGGGTTAAATCAAAGCAAGAAAGAGAAGAGATTTGAGATTTCGCCCATCTTTTGGTCACGAACCAAGACATACGTTCATACATTGTGTGTGGTACTCGTGGTGGTTGGTTATACGACGACAGAAGAAGAAGTAGGCTTGCTTTGGCTTCCGGCTTAAACTAACATTGCCCGACAAGAAAGAAAGAAAGGAATAGAGAAAAGAAAGACATTTTGCTGCTGAGAACTTTAGGTGTCAAAACTCACAAAGCGAAAATAGATTAGCTTAGATGGACAGGGCAGACGTGGAGAAGGAGGAATTGTAGTGGTGGAAGTATTATTTCGCCAAATTGGTAAAATCGACGTACAAAATATTTGCTATGAAACCAGACTGAACAAGATTTTGGTTAAATTGGTCCTACATTTATTCAAACGATGCATGCAAACTAGGAACAATTTGTTTAATGAGTTGCGACATTATTATTATTCGGGAGAAGTGTATCCATCAAAAGTGTGGACGAAATTATACATGTACCAACTTTCATGGTAAAATGTAAAGTCGTCGACTCTTTCAGATTTTCAAAGTTCATCTCAAGTAATAAGTGACGACGTGCCGAGTTCAAGATTCACTTCTCGTGTTCAGTTAGACAAGTCTAAATTAAATTTTCGCATTTAGCACCTCACTCGCCCGTCAATCTTGCTCAAGGTTAAGAACAAAAATTGTGTACCAGATTGCACTGGATAAGCATTTATTTGGCGGAGCCGAGCTGTCAAAATTCATGAGTACTTTTTTTGATGTCATTATTTTTTACTTGAGGTTTAGCTTAACAAGTGTAGTAGTAAAAAAAACTACTGCCATGCATTTTGTACATGACTGCACGATCACCACCACCAGTTTTATCGTGAGTGGAGCAGAAAATAGTTTCCACGCGGCTCGTAATAATAATGATAATGTGGAGATGGAGAAAGGTTTTGGCCGGGCTGGGCTTCTGCTGCTTCGGGTGCTGCTCTAGTAATTTGAATGTCAAATCAAATTGCTTGACACATGTGTTCTCAATTGAACCCCACTATGCAAAATATGTACATTGTCATTTTTTTAATAGTCGTTTGCGATTCATCAAGACCCATTTCAAGCTTTGGCTAAAAGGACACTGCGTCACCAGCTTCGTATCATTATAAAATTGTTCCATTCATGGACAAGGGTTTGGTTCTCTTTTGTAGTAAACTTATTTAAATTGAGGGTCTACAATTAATAAGAGATACTGCAACATCAAACACACAAAAGCCTTACACGATACTTACTATAAATCGTATATATCACATGAAATTAACCTTAAATATACCACCGCTGCTGGCCTGGCTGTCTCTATTAATGAGTCGTATGACCACCCCACAAAGTACAAGCATCTATGTCGATTTCTGACAAAAGAGGGAAAGTCTGAACCATGCATGTAATGTATCTCTATCGAAAATATGATGGAGAAAGCTCAAAAAACCCAACCCACCAGCCGAGCAAAGACAAAAGTTGTATTTGTTGACAACGAACCAATTAATAGGACGACTCCCTGCACCGATACCTTTGCAATTCTTTTCCTAAGGAATGTAATTACTGTCATACCTCGCAGAAGAATGGATGAGGATGAGATATAAAAAAAAATATTGAATGGATGGCTCCCTCACTTTTCCGAAGGTGTTCTATATAATTTCTTCCTTTTCCTTCTCAGGTACCAAATCTACGCGACAATGGCTTCATTCTACGTTCCTTTGTGCGTGATGGTCGTCGTCTACGCCAAGATCCTTCGCGTCGTGGCGGACAAGAAGAAGCAGATGACGTGGACAAATAACAGTCGGAATAGTAGCGTAGATCGCTCAGCCGTGCACGACATGCACTATCTACAAGGTAAGAGAATTCAATTACTATGATGAAAAAATGAATCAATTTACATAAACTGTATTTACATTTATTAGGTAAAAACTGTCACAAAAGTTTCACAAGTGAGTTAGATATTCTCAAAAATATGTAGTTAAACAAACTGAATTTAACTTTAAAATTATTGAACTTTCGCATTAAAATAGAGTGAGTGAGAGCAATATAAAGGCAAATCCGAGACCATGTCGTGGTTGTTCATATATAACATAAATTTGCATTTTTGATGAAACTCGACTGCGCCTAAGGTGTGCCTTGGGAATGGAATAATAACGACCTCATCTAATTCTAATTTCATTCTCTCCATCTCTCTTACACGACATTCTGCAAGTGTATAAATATCAATAAGTTATATATTGCAAGATGTTTCATACGGTGCACTTGCTTCTTGGGAAGGAAAATTGTACCCTGTGCTTGCTTATTAAATTGGAAATTTCCATACAACTTTCTCCTAGTTAGTCTGCCTTAATAATATTACGTCGCCAGTATGCATACGCCACCCCCGCGAAATGTCAGTCAGTCAGTCCGTCAGTCACTTTGCTGATTGTTTGCTTAGCTACTATAGGGTTTCCAAAACATGGGGGAATGAATTCTGGTGTCTACTTTCTCCAGTCACCACCAGCAGCAGAACTCGCACTTAATAATATTACATACATACCTCGGGTACGTACATGCATATGCACTATCCGTTATTCCATTCATTCTGATTATGTGCACCACTAATACTCCATAGTCAGGAGTCCATTCCATTCCATTATTGCAACGTGACCGTGATGGGTCGTCGTATGCTTTCACCTGCAAGAATTACTACTACCGCACCTTCAACCAAGTACTGATTTTCCTGTGGGCTTCATTCAAAAACCGGGTTTCATGCCAGGGTCCAACCGTTTCACGCACCACCCGCGGATTTCCTTTCTCTTTTTTTACATTTCTTACCACACATCATAATCGATTCTCTTGCCTTGTTTCGCTTGCATTAGTAAAGGTAATAGGAAAGTGAAAATATTACTTAGCATGTGGTCTGCCAATTTGTTGTATAACTGAATCCTTTTATTTTCCTGGGTATGTTTACAATTCTCATTTGTATGCATTTCCTTACCTCGGTAGTAACCACCCCGACTTTCTTAACCATCAAGGACCAGTTCAAAGGCGACGTGCGGTATTAAATATGCAGAATCCATGATTATTTAAGGGAAAAGGATGTGCAGGCGTCACTTCACCACGGCCATCGCCATCACATAATTTTTAATATAATACTTATCTCTGAAAAGGGAATAAAATTTGGGAAGGTAGTGGAGAAGGTAAGTATGAATGTGAATTCACATTCAATTTAATGGAGCACATAGAGCGGCGAAAAAAAAGGTGCTGCATATCCGGCCGCGTCCTTATCCATGATAATGTTCAACAGACCCGTTTTCTTATACAATTCGGTGTACAATGTCGTCTCAAGAAGGATGGAGTACAACACGTGTTTCTTAGATCTGGCTGTATTTTTTGGGTGTGCATCGACTGACTATCGCAAATTCGTCCTAACCAATTCATTTTTATTACAACAATACAGGTACAGAGTCGTTACCGTTGTCGTTGATGATGATTCATGTGAACTGTATCGTATAGGAGCGTTCTTGGGTCAAATTATCCCATTGAGAATATTGATCAAGAAATATCTACGGTTGAGCCCAAGATATGTACATACTTTATATGCTGGATCGATCCTTCGCATGCATGTATGCATGGTGGAAATGAGAATCAAATATTGGATCCTCACTAAGTAGTCGTGATAACGTCTTATCTTGGAAGAAACATTCGTTCTCTTCCTCCCTCCTTCTTTGAATGGATGAGGGGATACGATATACGACATGCATGCGGTGATTTTGAAATGGCATGCTTTGCAGTCAAAACCTTTGTTACCCTTCTTGCCCTACAAAGTTATTTGCTTTCCATGTCCTGTTTCATTTTCGGGGAGAGAAAACCCACTACCATTCATCTTCTTACGGACCGACCGACCCAGAAGAAAAAATTTGTGCTAATGCCACTGCCTAATTTTAAGAGAAAATTACAACAGTAAGCGCGATCACTGTATTAGCAGCAGCAACAGAGTCTTAGTTTTGTGGGAGTGATTTTTCCCTCGGTCTTTCCAAATGCTCCATTTTGACAGCAGAGGTGCAATCTATCATTACTTTATGTCTACCAAGGATACATAATAGCTTTACTAAATCACTATATATACGTATGTATCATGTGTGTATGTGAATGCATGCATGGGCCTGCTTTCTCCTCCAGAGAAACGTCGATTTCACCGAAAGGATAATAATCGTATCTTCCGTTCCTCGAAGCAATAGCATATCCATCCACTTTTGTCGTAGTAATCGAGAATTCTCGAGTTTTTCTTGATGAAAGGGAAAATTTGAAAGCGGTTCTTTTATTATTCTACTTTGGGCCAGATACAACACGCAGATGACAAAAGAGAGAGAAAGTACAATGGACAATCCAAGGACAAGGACGTGATGAATACAGCAAAATGTTTGCTTGCATGTTGGATGGGATAGATTTGCACCCGCCCATGAATAATGCCTATCGAGAAGAGGAGTGCCCAACTTCAGAGAGCGTTCGTGAGCTAGATTATTCATGTTTCGGAGAAAGTTTAGCCCACACAAGTCCATCCGTCGACGAAACTACAGCATTGTCGAAATAACAACATGCACTGTCTGTAGGACGATACGTGAATGGGCTTTCACTGGTCCAGCACCCACCAAGCGATGAATGAATGAATGAATGAATAAGCAAGCGCTTTACTATCATTTTAATATCCATCCATACCTATTTTTAGAACTGTCTGTAATACATGCATTCCAGAATTCATTTGTTATTCAGAATGGTTGCATGTTTCGGGGCAACTGTTGTTTTCGATAAGACCCGAGTTCAAATTGGTCAATTGGTTTGTTTAATTATTCAAAACGTTTGATCCTTGAACGTACTTTCACTCCTGCGTGGGCAAGGATTTTGACATGCAGTGAAAACACGCTTTCTGATTGACTTTCCAATCAACTAGCGAGATCAAGGCAGCAAGTAATTCTCACCTCAAATCCTTCTTGCCCATACCATTTACATAATATTTATGAAAGCTAGCTTTCTCCAACAAGTTCGCAGTTTTATAAGCCTACGTGCAACCACTGTCACCATCTTCGTCGCAGAAACTCATTAGCATCGACTTTTCAAACCTAATGAGCATTTTGACTGCGACTTTGTGCACCATCCTTTGGAAATATTATTTTCAAAATCGTCTCGCAAACTAACGACATTAACAGAATAATTTGCTTACCATGAATATATCTGCACTTAAGTACAGGAAACAGGCCGGTCATATTATTTGCTTCCACACACGAGTAAATGAAACCACTTAAGCAGGCTGCATAGTTATTATGTAAGTGTGGCTGCGAGAGGACTTTAGGATTGGTGAAATTGGTCAGGTTTCAATTACTGGAAGCGGTAGAAAGTCTATTTTAATAGGTTACTGGGCCATTACTTCATGGTTATGAACACTAAATAAGCATTCTCCGTTGCAGTATTATTATTGCATAAGTAGGTTTCCTTTAGTTGGCTTTCTCCAAAATAGAGGATAAATATATAGCAAACCAAAAAATTTGCTTGACAATAAGACCCCCAAAATGCGGTATGAATACGTTAAATATTTTAATGCAAATGAGCCTGATTCTTATAAAATGTCAAAATATGTACGCTTAATATTTGAAGAGGCGCCCTCCTTATGTAACATCATTATAATTTAAAGTTCTTGAAGAGTCGTCCGAAAACGCGTTATCTTTCATGTCCGCTTTCTCCTCGCTAATTGAATCCGATAATGAATCGTTATTACGGTGTGTAGCACGGCAATTAATGCGTTGGATAAGTTGTAATTTGTAAGTAATGAAATTATCCTCTTCTTATGCACACATTGGCTTTTGAGCTCATTATACGAGTCTGCATGCCCTCTTTCTATGCATATCATTGTGCTCCCTTAATTACAGAGAGAGCAGACGGAAGCGTCAATATTCCTGCCACGTCGCCCCATAATCATGATCGTCAACAGCCGAGCAGTAACAATCCTCCTTGGAAGAGGGGAAGCAGGGGTTCCTCCGCAACGAGGATGAATTTAGCTCATCTTCACCAAAATCCCGTCCAGTTGAGGGTCCATCATCCCAGCCAGAGACGCCAACAGCGTTACGCCAATAATCCTCCCACCGATGGAGCAAATGGACACAAACACCCATTTCCCAGCTTACGTATGACTTTTTTGCTTGCTCGTACATACGGCTTTGTGCACCGCAATTATGTAAATAACAGCATGTGCTGCAGGTGAAAGCAGGATTTTGCAGCCGGTTCAGCAGGAATAAAATGTGGGAATATGCATGCATGCCCTGTTTGTTTGTTATACAACTCTGCCAAATATTCGATTATGTATGCATTTCATCCCGTTCTTTTCTCCGTGTAATCATATTGTCCAGCGATGCACGTATCGGAGAAGAAGTCGCTTTTGCACTTTCGCATTAACTGAACCGTGCCATATTTACAAAGCAGCACAAGAAGCTTTCATCCATCCGGCTGATTATCACTCGAGTGTGGATGGATAAATAAGTTTAAATCCTTTGATCAGCTTAAATACATTTATATGTATATATTTAGTATTATGTAGCGGAATTTTCGGAAATATATATCACACGCCCACACACAGAGACGCATATTATTATCTGTATTTGTGACAACGTGGAATTCCAATATTGCATTGTGTGTAAAGTGGTTGGCATCTGTTTCACGAGATAAGCACAGGGATCGTCATGTTTCCCGTAATTAAACCTGCTTCGTGTCGATAAGCCACATACCATAATTTAATTTAAGATGGGCTAAAACAGGCGCCGTAATGGAATCAGAGTGTCGGCTGTAAAGTCGCAATAAATTTTTTTATTATTCTCATGCCGTCTTTTCAATCAGCCGTGTTGAACATGAATGTAAATACTATAGGGATTGGAATTGTATGGTTAGGAGAGCGAGACAGAATGGGGAGAGATTATGCGGGATGTTGCCTCATGCCACGATTTGGTGTCTGGTGTACGAATACATAGTGCTTCTATAGGATTTGGTGCTTGTGCCCGATTACTTAGTGCTTTATGTAGAATTTGGTGCCTCTATCCGAGTAATTAGTTATTATAAAGAATTTAGGAATATTCAAAGGTGCTGCACATTGATATTCCCGGAGGTAAACCGTAACGCGATTTGCACCCAGGCACGGATCATGTTATGTGACAATTTCAGTTCTGTCAAAAATATAATTTCAGCAAATGCTAAATTTAAATGAACAAAATTGTAGTATTTGCCAGTATTTAGATTAATTGTAACGATAATTTGAAAAAAAGCTGACAAACACAATATTTGTACACATAAAATCAATACTGTACTCAATTCTTACAGTAATGGTCACCCGGAGCCTATGTGGGGGTGACTACAAGTGGATTCACGTTATTTTACCGACATCTACTTACCGACATTGGTTTACCTTTTTTGCCTTTCGCCAAAGTTCTATCCTTAATAACTTTTCGGTTTATGGACCGATTTGGTTGAAATTTTTACTGAAGGTGTATAATCGCTTGGGCTACATATTTTACCTGGGCGATTGACCACAAACCCACTAGGAAAGAACCTCACCCAAAGTGGGTGTGGCTCGTCGAATTTTTATGAACACGTCCACGGTCACTTGGGGGCTCAGAATATACAAAAATATTATGAGAAAAGTGTTCGTGGGCTTTTTTCCTCTAATCTGGCCTTTTTGGATAGTGTTCACTCTTAGCAAAACGGTATTGAATGAAATTGAATCATCACCGAACGGAGTGCATATATGACTTAACCGGCGAGGGGATAACAGGCATCACCGTATAGTGAAAAGTGTACACCGTTATGGTGATGAAAACTAACCACTTGGAATCAAACTATTACCAACCCGGGGAGAAACTATCACCAAATCAATACCATCACGGAGTGTATATATGACCTCACCACTTTGCTAAGAGTGTGGATTGTCGGTAAATAATTAAGTCGGTAAATTATTGTGTCGGAAAATATTTAGTCGGTAAATGATTGCGTCGGTAAATAATGCGTCGGTAAGTTGATGTCGGTAAAAAGGTGGACACCCGACAAGTGATATATTTGTCACAAAGCTTATTATCAAAAATAGGGGGTCCAGGCACCAAGTTATGCAACACAAAGGCCTAACTCTGCAAAAGTTTATGACAGCCCCGTCGTGGTGCTGGATGATGATGACTCATCCAGCCACAACGTGACACAAATATGCATATATGTTCATAATGTTATTATAAATTAGTTTAAAAACATTGCAACGCAATTAATCAATTTATAAAATAAATCAAACCGATACAAGTATTGTTAAATTTTTCACCATTTCAGAGTTACGTATTTTGCGGGTACCCCCTTTGTCGAAATAAAATAAAATCTCCTTTATAACGCTAGATGGAATCAGATGCACAGTCTGTCTCTCGTGAATCTACTGGTTAAGATATAAGTTGGCCAATCCCTATAGTATTTACATTCATGGTGTTGAAGTATTTTATGGACGGCTGGTGGCGGAATCACGAGTCAGTAATGGATTTTATCTCATGCTGTCTAGTGACGTATATTTATCCCATTTGTTAGCGGCATAAAAGAAGACACTAATTTTATAGGAGTTCCGAAAATAACAATCGTAGTTTAAATTGTAGCGTAAAATGTGGACATGTTTTTATTGATTTTTGCCTTTCACTTTCACCAGAAAAATTCCGACCTGTGAGACTAAAGGATCATAAAGCTTCCACTACGCTGGGACTCGTGATGGGTAAGTATCTTCGGTTTGCATATGGATTTCCATTCATTTTGAAGGAAGATAAAATTGTATTTTTGTGCAGGTGCGTTCATAATTTGTTGGCTGCCTTTCTTTGTCCTCGCACTCATTCGTCCGTTCGTCGAAGGTATGAACTCTTTTCTCCGTTTTTTATCCCTTGTTGGTATTTTTCTTATTCTCGTCGCCATTTCCAACTTCATCGAGAAGACTACTTTGGTAGACTTGTTCGGAATAAAGAATTGCGTCTCAGTCAGTTGGAGATTAGGATGCGTTGAATTTTATCCATGCAGTTTTCGCACTTTGCCGTATTCAGTAATCCATCCTGGATATGCATTCCTAGTTCGCAGCATGTCCGACGGGATTCAATTTTCTGTATTGGCTCAACTTACTTGAGAGAGAAAGCGATAGAGAAGAGGGCTTTTTTAATGGTGAAAGTGCTGTATTGGGGGAAACCGATAGTATGCTTTCGAGAATATGGAGATATTTATTTTGGAGGATCAGTACCTCTGTTTTTAGTCGTAGTGAATTTTATATTTCAAATTGATACATTTGTACATACGTCAATAACAATTATGTTCACAAATTGAATTTCCCTTTATTTTCTTAAACTTTCTCCAGAGGACAAAATCCCAGGTTGGGTCTCATCTCTCTTTCTCTGGTTGGGGTGAGTGTACCAACTCATATTTTATAGTGAATTTGCCATGAAACTGATGAAATTTACTTATTTGAATGCAGATATTTCAACTCTAGGTAAATTCTTTATTCTAGTTTATTTACAAAAAGAATCATGTTTAAGGTCTTGCAGTCATATGCTTATTTGTATTCTCCTTTAAGTCTCAATCCTGTAATCTATGCAACCACCAATCGTGACTTTAGACGTCCATTCCGTGAGTACATACATTCATATTTACTTTTGATTCATTTAGGCCCATCATGATTTGAATTATTAAAAGCATTGGAATTAAATCAAATAAAATTGTCAATTATTAAAGGTGAAATATTGTGCTTCCGATGTTCCACCCTGGACGACTTGATGCGTCGAGAATTCTACGACCACCAATACGGTGGTGACGAATATTGTGTTCGCAACAAAAAGAAACTTCCCGGCGTGGGTTCGAGCTGTGTCAGTGGTGGTGGCCCACTTTCCCCCACGTCCGTCTCCGAGACAAATATTTTAACCAATAACACCAAAATTAATAATACGAATTCCACAAGTTGTCCATCCCTCCCACCACCACCGCCACCACCTCCACCACAATTGGAGTCCTTCCCGAACAAGCAAAACTCCGTGTCCCAAACGCATACCCCCATCAAACTCCAGAATCAGAATGCCATCAGTTCCACCACCACTGACCAAGAGTCGTCTGGTCTTCCTCAGAAAGGGTCGCCCCAATGGACGCCTTCTGCGGAGAGGAATAAAATGAATATAACTCTTGAAACTACAGATCCAGAGACTGACGTTGAATCCGACGGATTCAACTGTCGCATGGTCGCAATTTGAACACTCCAAACTCACTTTCTGCTTATCATTATTGTCGGAAGAGAAAGTTGACGAAATTCCGAATGCTGATCATCCTGATTCCTATTTATTACCTTTACTACTACTACTTTTGCCACGTCTTTCATCGCTCTCCAATCCAATTGTACCGTGGAAATACGTATCATCCATCAATTCATCCTTTCCAACTTTTAAGCGTGCCGTGTCGCCCGACGAGGTGGAAATGTGGGTGGATTGGGTAACGTCGCGGAGGAAAGAAAGCAAGTGGAACTGACTGAAGAGATGAAATGAGATAGATGAAATCGAATTACAAAAGGACACATAAATCAGCCACTCTAGTCGAGACATACATGAACAAATGTCCACCAAGCGAGGAGTCGTCCTTAAGCCGTGTCTACCACTTTCTACCCACTACACAAATCCAGAAAAAAGAAGGGCTACCACCACTACCACCTGACAACTAAGGTTGGGTAAAAGTAAGTCTCAATTTCATTCCAATTTTTCATCCCTTCCTGTCTGAATTCATGATCGTGTAAGAAGATAACCATATAGCAGGGTGCATGTGGCTTCCGCGTGTACATTTTATATGTGTGTAAGATCGCTTCCTATTTTCGCTATCTGTACCAGGTGTTGTTCCCTGACTTTTGACTTGTTGCCTGTATTTTTTTTATTTCCTTTGATAATAAGACTTGTCGAGACGGCATTATTTATTGATTTGGTTCCTTCCAAACCAGTCCTTCTGCTGCTGCGGTGGATAAAGGAGTTTCTTTCTTAGATATTTCTCAACATTTCTGAGTCATTGTATTTCAAAGTATTTAAGTACATGACGCACGTGGCAAAATCCCCCGAGTTTAGCGTAATAGCAGGGAGAGCTTTCGCCTCCAGAATTTGAAATGTGAAGCAGATTTATTTAATGGACCAATATGCCAACTACGTATGTATGTATACCTGGAAGCATAACCTAATAACCCGCATTGACCTTCGAAAGTTCCTTTCCGTTCAATGGGGTGGTTGTGGTGTGGTGAACTTTGAAATCTGGTGAAACCATACAACAAGAATTTATGTCTTCATATTATAACGAGGCATGTAGTATTTCGTCGACAACTCTTTTGTTCCTACCAAGTGAAGCATTCCTAATGCGCGGCCTGCTTGGAGAAAGTCGTTGAAACTCTCAGTTTATAAGAAAATGGCTCGAGGGATCATATTTCAGAATTTCACTGCCTCCTCACCACCAACACGACTATGTCCTGTCCATGAGTGTTTTCACCCAGAATTAAATACGATGGGATTGGGGGAGGAAGAAAAAGGAGGCTTTTCCTTCACAAAGGCTGATACTCACTGATGGTATAACGAGTGAGAGAGAGAGCATAAGTTTACGGTTCAGTTTCACGTGACATGGATCCCATTTATTTCAGGAAATAAGGTTCACTTCTAGACGTTTAATGACCACAGTCACCATTTTATGTCTCATTGAAGCAATAAAATGAAGAAGAAGCATAAGGCATGGAGTAATCCGAAACAAATATATTTATAGATATATGTATAAAAGTGACCTATTTACAAACGAGCCTGGCATACAAAACTGGGTACTTATTTAAATTGGGGAAAAGAAGGTGTGAATTAGAGGCAATGTGGGACAGATACATGGAAAGCTAAACCTGTCACATTTGTGAGACTATAGTACGTGTCGAAACCGTGAGTAAATGATCGTCCAACCTGCGCGTCTATGTAGACATTTGTATTTGTTGCATAAGGAATGACATGCACGCACAAATGATAAACTATACTTTTGAAAATTGCAACGGCACCTGACAACCTGAAGCGGTTCGTGCATAGCTGAAAACTCGGGGTAAATGATGTGGAAATCTGATATCCGATTTCCCCTGTCGAGGCAGGAACCAAGATTTATTCACAAAGGAAAAACCAATCCGACTTTCACCTTTATTATATAAAACTCAATATATAATATTACATAACGCCAGCTTCCGTCAAGTCATGTTCGCCAGTAAAACAAGAGCAATCTGTCTGATTAAGACAATCAGGTTATATAATTTGACTGTGCACGTTATGTACTTTATATATCATCTCAGACCCAGATTTGACCAGAATCAACTGGTCATTCCTGGAATTTTTTGTGATAAAATAACATAGTTTAGTGACGGATGACACTCGATAATCCGCAATCGACCTTAAAACATAAACAATTGATATTACAGACCGTATATTTTATTACAAGCTCAACTTTGATGGTTGGATTTCATTTCACCACTTTTTTTGCAGATTGTGTGACAAGTTTAGTTCAGTTATGTACCTAAATGAGCTTTATCTTCTTTCATAAGATCACCTCGTCTCACAGGTCGTCGGGTTTTCTGTAGCATGTGAATTTGTCTGGGTTTCGTTGGATTCATTGCTCCCTGTTCTGTTCTTTGTCCTTCAGTCCGACAGTGGTGCAGGACCTGAGAAACTTATCACGGACGACGGACAGGATTTTGTTGTCTTGACCATTTCTTGATTAGAATTTGTTCCTCGGCACGATAACCGCTGACGATGTGGTGGGACAGACAGGTTTAGTGTGCTGGATCTAAGAACGCTTTTCCATGCTGAGGAATGAATCGCGTTTCCAAAAAGAGATCCCAAGCGACAGTCCAGTAGTTAGTGAGAAATGGATGGGAAAGTAATCAGACAGAGGAGCAGGAGAGAATGAAGAGGTAGCGGCGGACGTGTTCTCAGAAATCTCACAAGTATCTCTTCAACGTCAGACCGGAGCTTGTGATGTAGTCCTTTCATCATCTCGCTGGCTTATCTCACTACTTATTTTGAGCATAGAAAAGTGATCAATAGTTTTGCAATTTTACAATTTCATCGAGATCAGGAAAGGTTAATTGCTTTTATGCAACAATTTTTATCTGTTGAATTCAGTATTTAAGTATTGAATAATTATATAATATGAAGTACATTGTTTACGAGTATGATTTATTTACCAATTTGGTTACGTAAAAGTTTGATTATTTTGTCATCAGGCGAGATCACTTAGGAATGCTTTGTCTTAGCGTAAAAACGCTAAAAGTGGAATAAAAATCTACTGTTTAGCCTGAGTTTTGCCTGGTTATATGGTACCACTCCAATTTTTTGTGAATCAACTATCTGTTTTTTGGCTATTATTTCGTAATCGCATAGTTCTTACATACTCAGGCTAAAAATACACGAATTTATTGATATATAACTTTCATGAAATCTATAGTATATAACATTCCTATTATTTAACCTAGTTCAATTCCGCTTTATTTCTACTTTTTCACTGAACTTTTATACCCAGAATTTCGTAAGCGATAAATCCTACTCCCATTGAATTGCATACTCCATGTGCTCATTTTCATCTCCAGCGGAGGCTAAATGTCCACATAAAAGTCGCGACTTTCTCCCATTCCACTTTCTACTACGCCGCCGACGATACAAGCGTCAACAAACTAATTAATAATAAAGCCGCTTTCTTTGCACAATGCGAATGATCAGGTTGACAGAGCTATTGAAGCGGATTTTTATTTCCTCCTCTATCCGACGAGCTATGAGTCCAATGTCAATATTATTGCGCAAAGAAACCCTTCTCTGAACTCTCAATGGTCCTTGCTTTCACCTCCTCCTTCCGAAAACAAGGAACACATCACACACCGTTGAGTCGCAACTACTACTCCATAAAGCTTCGTGTGTTTAGTGTGTGTTCTGCTCTCCTGTCCGAATTTCTAAGAAAACAAGAAATGTGTTGAGCGCAGAGTGAAAGGACAAAAAGGTAATAGATTGGAAACGGGAAAACATTTTGGTCAGACTATTATTGAATCCGCACCGTTTACCCCATTGAGACACACCGTATAGCGGATTATGTGGGGGAAGATAAGTGGGATTCTTAGTGGGGTTGCGGATACGAGAAGGATTTGCAGCCAGCACACAGCCCGGGACGAAAAGGAGACAGAATTCACTTTCATAATATGAAATGAAGCTTGCTCAAGAGATGAGAGTGAAGAAGAAGCAAAACAAGTGCTGCTGTGGCTGGTGCTGGTAGTTTTAGTAGCAATGCTGTTAGACCACGTTGAATATTGTGCTTGTACATAAATTGAGATTGTAGTCAATTCACGTAGTCTGGTGGATAGAGTTGCCGCATTCGGACTGTTGGGTCTGTTTTCTCTTGTTTTCTTTCCGCTTTCTTGGAGATTAACCCTGGACTCACCCTTATTTACTTTCACTCCAGTTCCGCTCTTAGACAGAGAAACAGCCTATTCAATCTCAATCTCCTCAATTCGCAATTCTCCCTCCGCTTAATCGATGTGTACGTACGCTGCTAACCCTTTCCTCGCGCTTTCGTTACATGCTCTGCTTTCTCCATCCATCCATCCATCCAAGCAGCCTCACAGACTTGGTGTCTTGTCCACAATGTTATTCAGCTTTTTAGCGGAAGGAAGGCTCCCAAGGCGATTTCATGTTGACTGGGCGGGTTGATGGACCAGCCAGCTCACAATCCTACCAAGCTATACATATGTATCGTTGGTGTGCTCTAGTTTCTCTTTGCCACTCATCCTTTATTTACATTAGAACGGAGAATAGTTGGCTACTGGCTTTTGGAATATATTAGGATTAGAATGCAGTTGGAAAAAAGTTGGGTAAATCCCATTTCTTTTTGGGGAAATTGTATCGTTCTTTCAATGTGTATGTTTCTGGGTTAGGGGAAAATAAAATTGAAATTGTGTAATGTTTTTTTGTTGAGAAAATGAGATGCACTGAATACATACGATTGCCACGTTTTATAAGGTTCGTGGTTGGTGCAGCGTGAGTACGAGTTGCGTGATGTGGTTCTTATTGTGGTAGAGGACAGAGTGAAATTGAATTGAGGGGGAGTGGTTGGCTATGAACTGCACCATGCAAGTTCGTGTGGTTGACAAGATTTTTTGTAAGACGAGATATATATCTACTCCAGTAGTGATGGTCAAAGTATAGATTATTTCTTTTTCTGGGGTCCTGTTGAGACGCTGATTATTGTAATCTTAAGTGTTTTCGGTAAAACATTTTCAATATTCCATTTTCAATATCGACAACTTTCCTTTTGACTTTTAGAACAATTGATTTAATCGATTGTGTCAGTTGCAGGTAATGCAACGCAACTTTATAAATATTGTTATTGCTAGTTTTGATATTTTCGGATAATTTGGTCACCAAAATAGAAATGTTGCAACAAGTTTAATATTTAAATATTGAGCAGGTAAGACCGATTGTTGAAGGTCAGCAATTAATTTTAAATAGAAATAAATAATAGTTTTGGCTTGGACTAAACATTTAGGCTTGGAATACCCATGCGGCGTAGTTGCATATAAACATATACTACTGAAATTGGCTTGCTATTTTCGTCTCTCGTTACCTCCATATTTTCTCCACAATGCTCCATTAGAATATTATTCCTGGTGAAAGTTTGTTTTGGTAAATACTATTC